GTTTCCGGGTCTGGGGTGCTCGTGCCTTTGTCCGCGATACCACCGCGGACAAGCTCTCCGCCCGCGCTGTTCCCTGTGTCTTCCTTGGCTTTGTCCCTGACGCGCCTGGTTGGCAGTTTTACCACCCCACCTCGCGCCGTGTCTTCCCCTCTCAGGACGTCACGTTCGACGAGTCGGTTCCCTTTTACCGTCTCTTCCCCTACCGCACTGCCCCTCTCCCCCCCCCGCCGCTCCTTCTCGCTCCAGGTGCTCCCCAGGTAGACCCCCTCCCCGCTCCCGGTCCTGCTCCTTCAGGTGTGTCTCAGGTAGACCCTCCTCCTCAGGTTGAGGTCACTGGTGACTCAGGTGCTGCTGAGGGTGGTGCTGCTGCTGGGGGTGCTGAGCCTGGGGGTGCGGAGCCTGGGGGTGCTGAGCCTAAGGGTGGGAGCCTGGGGGTGCTGAGCCTGGGGGTGCGGAGCCTGGGGGTGCGGAGATTGGAGGTGCTGAGCCTGGGTGTGAGGAGTCTGGGGGTGCTGAGCCTGGGGGCGCTGAGGCGTCTGGTGAGCAGTCTCCCGGGAGCGGCCGTCTCCGTAGTCGCTCTGCTGGTGCCTCGCCGCTGCACTCTCGTCGTCGACTCCCTCTCTCCCCACAGCAGCTGTTTGAGTGGTACGCTGGCCGTCAGGGTCGCGCTGCTGGAGCTAGGGGCCCTGGTGCGGGAGGCGCTGGAGCTGGTGACTCTGCCACTGGAGTTGTTTCTACTGGAGGGTCTGGAGCTGCTGAGGGTGCTGGAGCTGGTGGCGCTGGCGCTGGAGGTTCGGGAGCTGCTGGAGGTACTGGCGCTGGTGGCGCTGGAGCTGGAGGTTCTGGAGCTGCTGAGGGTGCTGGCGCTGAGGGTTCTGAGTCTGCTGTTGCGCGGCTTCCTTGGAGTAGCCGCCTTCGTCCGCGTGTGCCTCTCACCTCGCAGCAGCTGCACGACTGGTACGGTCGCCATCAGGGTCGCGCTTCTGGAGCTCGGGGCTCTGCCGCTGGAGGTACTTCTGCTGTCGTCACTGGAGCTGGGAGTGGTGCTGGTCCCGGAGGTGCTCGTACTGGAGGTACTGGAGCTGCTGGGGCTGGAGGTGCTGAGTCTGAGGGTGCTGCTGCTGGAGGCACTGAGGCTGGAGACCCTGGGACTGGAGGTGCCAGTTCTGGGGGTGCTGCTGTTGGTGGAGCTGGTCCTGGGGGAGCTGGCGCTGAGGGTTCTGGAGCTGCTGGAGGTGCTGGCGCAGGTGGCCGTGGAGCTGGAGGTTCTGGAGCTGCTGAGGGCGCTGGCGCTGGAAGTTCTGTAGCTGCTGGTGGTCCTGCCGCTGGTGGCGCTGGAGCTGGAGGTTCTGGAGCTGCTGAGGGTGCTGGCGCTGGAGGTTCTGGAGCTGCTGAGGGTGCTGGCGCTGGAGGTTCTGGAGCTGCTGGGGGTACTGGAGCTGCTGGTGCTGGTGTCACTACACAGCCGCGCCTGTTCTTCGCTCCACCATCTCCGTCGTCTCAGCCACCGCCTAACTCTGTGCTTCGCCAGGTTCTTAGTCTCCCTTCGTCTACTGGTCTTCCGTTGCAGCCTGGTTCACCGCTGCCTGCTCCTTCTCCTTACACTGAGCAGCTAGGGAGTCTTACTGAGCGTCGTGAGCCTGCGTCGCGTCCTGTCTCACCTGTCTGTTCTGGTCGTTCCGGTCGTCGTGTTCCTCGTCCGCGTCTGCCGGCTGTCCCCGACACCCACCTCGTAGTCCGTCGTCCTTCCTCTCCTCCACAGCGTGTTCCTCTGCCTTCCCCCCCTGCGTCTTCTCTGCCTGTCGTTGCTGACCCCGAGTCTGACCTGTTTCGTGCTGAGCACCCTACTGTCACGCGTCTGCTAGCCACTGTTGTCACTGACCCGTCGTTTGAGTCTGCTGCTACGTCTGCCCTAGTTGCTGAGCTTGTTGACTTTGCTGCTGCCTGTCGTCTAGACTACGCCGCTAGTCTTGTTGCTGAGTCTGAGTCTGTCTGTCCTCCGTCCGTCGGGGGTGAGTGTGCTCTTGGCACGGACGTCCTTGAGGACAGGCAGGAGGACCTTGAGTGTCTTGCAGCCGCTGCGCCTCATCTCGTGTCCATGCTGCTTGCCCCTGAGGGAGACCCGGATGCTCCAGACATCCCGACCCCGCGCTCTTACGCTGAGGCGATCGCGGGTGAGTACTCCTCTCAGTGGCAGACAGCCATGGAGGCAGAGATGGCATCCTAGAAGTCCACAGGCACCTACGTCGACGAGGTTCCCCCACCTGGGGCGAACATCGTCAGTGGCATATGGATTTTCAGGGTGAAGCGGCCGCCAGGTTCTCCGCCCGCCTTCAAGGCGCGTTACGTTGCACGAGGTTTCAGTCAGCGAGAGGGAGTAGACTTCTTCCAGACCTTCTCCCCCACCCCGAAGATGACCACTCTTCGGGTGCTGCTGCACGTTGCCACTCAGCGTGACTACGAGCTTCACTCTCTTGACTTCAGCACAGCCTTCTTACAGGGCAGCCTGCACGAGGAGATCTGGCTGCGCCGCCCACCTGGCTTCACTGGGCCGTTCCCTCCTGGTACCCAGTGGAGCCTCAGGCGGCCGGTCTACGGTCTCCGCCAGGCGCCACGTGAGTGGCACGACACACTGAGGACGACACTTGCGGCTCTTGGGTTTGCCCCGTCGACTGTTGACCCGTCGCTGTTTCTGCGCACCGACACTTCGCTGCCGCCGTTCTACATCCTCGTGTACGTCGACGACTTGGTCTTTGCCACTGCTGACACTGAGGCTCTCGCCCTGGTGAAGTCGGAGCTGCATAAGAGGCACACGTGCACAGACCTGGGTGAGCTGACAAGCTATCTTGGCTTGCGGATCACCCGGGACAGAGCACGCCGCACCATCACACTGACTCAGTCACACATGGTGCAGCAGGTCCTTCAGCGCTTCGGCTTCACCTGGTCCTCGGCACAGCACACTCCTCTGGCTACAGGTCACTCGCTCTCAGCTCCACCTTCGGACGAGTCCGTAGAGCCGAGTGGTCCTTACCCAGAGCTAGTGGGCTGCCTCATGTACCTGATGACCTGCACTCGTCCTGACCTTGCGTACCCTCTTGGCCTTCTGGCTCGCTACGTGGCTCCTGGTCGGCACCGAAAGGTGCACATGGATGCTGCTAAGAGGGTACTACGCTACTTGTGCAGTACATCGGGCATGGGGCTCGTGCTTGGAGGACGGAGCGACGTTGTCCTCACTGGGCACTCAGACGCTTCTTGGGTTGACGACCAGGCTACGCAGCGGTCGTCACAGGGTTGCACCTTCAGTCTTGGCTCTGGTTCTGTTTCTTGGCGTTCTACACGCTCGTCTTCAGTTCTCAGCTCCAGTTGTGAGGCTGAGATCTACGCCACAGCCATGGCTGCACAGGAGTTACGCTGGCTCACCTACCTGCTGACCGACTTGGGAGAGCGGCCTCGTTCTCCTCCAGTGCTGTACGTCGACAACAAGGCAGCCATTGCCTTGTGTGAGGAGCACAGACTGGAGCACAGAACGAAGCACATCGCTCTGCGTTACTTCCTGGCTCGAGATTTGCAGCAGCGTGGTCAGCTTCGTCTGCGTTACGTGGCCACTCGGGCCAACACTGCTGATATATTCACCAAGGCACTTCAGTCTGGTGATCATCAGCGTTTCTGCACCGTGCTAGGGCTTGTGCCCACTTTTCCTCACTTGCTGTAGGCTTTGCTTGTACTGTGATCTATATATATATACCTGCATGCTTGTTTTGCTAGGTAGAGATCACTCTGCTGTTTGTGTTGCATATATACCCCTGCATGTGAACTGGTCTTGTGGCCGCTTGCTTGTGCTCAGAATGCGTGGTGATCTTGAGATCCACCCTGAGCTTTGCTTTGCTTTGTTCTCTTGCTTGACCGGTCTTGTGACCTCTGGTTGTTCTTGCTATCCCCCACTTTGCCTATGGGGGTGTGTCAAACTATGTTTCTCTGTTGTAGGCTGTAGTGGGGTAGCCTCTACTGAGTACAACACTTTAGGGTTAGACATTGCCCTACTTGTACTCATCCTTGCTTTCTAGTCAATCATTTCCTGCCTATACTTCTGACAATTATACCCCACTTTGACTATGGGGGTGTGTCATAATGTAGTTTCTCTAGCCTACAGTGGGGTACTCTGTAATGAGTATGACCCCTTAGGGTTTCCTATATGTATCCACCTGCTTGCTAGTGAACATCCTCCTTTGCTCATTTCTCTCTTGCCTAGCTAGGTAAACCCTAGCTATGGCTCCTAACTCTCGCTACTATCTTCACACCTCACTTGCTGGTTGCTTGACTTGCTCTTGTTGTACACTGCTATATATCTTATACCTGCATGTTTTCTCTTGTTAGGTTGTGATCAGTGTACTGCCTTGCTATTATATACCTCTGCATGTGAACTGGCCTTGTGGCCACTTGCTTGTGCTCAGAATGCGTGGTGACTTTGTAATCCACCCTGAGCTGTGTTCTCTTCTGCAGACTGGTCTTGTGACCGCTTGTGTTTGCTGTCCCCTACTTTGCCTATTGGGGTGTGTCAAATTACAATTGTATCTCTAGGCTACAGTAGGGTCACTCCTTAGTGAGTACAACACTTTAGGGTTAGGTTTCCCCTACTTGTACTCACCTCTTGCCTAGTTCACTCATTCATTCCTAGTTCTATTCTTGACAGAATGCCTTCTCATAAAGTTTCATATCGTAACAAATACCGTGGTAATGCGCACAATTGTTCCAGGAGTTCGGTTGGAGGGAGGGGGGATTACCGTATGCTTGTTGGAGATAAAAACGTAAGTTGTTATGCATCTCATAATAAGTGTTACTCGGTGTGCTAAATGTGTGCTTAATGAAGTAACATTTTGAAGGTGGCTGCATATGCTGTTCATATAACCTATCTCATAATCGATGTACTCAATGCCTTATTATCCAGCTGTTCATTTTCTCTTAATAGCTTCGCTCCCACAGGTAGGAAAGCAGAGCCCCGAATGAAGCAAACCCCAGATTCGGGGGTTTCTCAAGCCTCCACCACCCTGGCTGCCTTGCTCGGGCAGAGAGGTTCGGCAAATGTAGGTGCGGAGAGTGGGTCTGGGAGCGTAGGCCCAAACCAAGCCAACCCTTCTCCTCCGCGCTCACCTTCTTTACTCTTTTCTTCTGCTACGCCTCTCCCTTTTCCTTCTCTTCACCTCGCCGCTCCAGCCCTACACTCAAGGCGTTGCAAGAACACCCAGGAGCCCAGAGAAGCTGCCACAATGAAGTTCAGCCCAAGTAAGTCCACGCCCTGCTGTCGTCTCGCGGTGCCACGTTGGGTCGCTTGCTCTACCGCGAGCTTCGCTGCGTGGAGTACGGGTCGTTTCGAAGTTCGTTGGTTGTTACGCAGTCCTTGAGCGTTTCGCCACTTGTCCGCCTTACCTGTAGCCAAAAGGATTTATTAGCGCGGCGTGGCGCGGCAAGCCAGCGACCTAGATCATGGCTGTGGGTGGGCGATAGTCGCAACAGTCTAGTCGTGGGGTGAGGGGATTGGCGGGCTGGTGCAGTTTCCGCGTGGAAGATCCACGGCGAAGATGGTATGGAATCGATTCTGTCTGGCCTCTGTTAGGAGATCAGCAATTGCTAGGTCTTCGACGGTAGATCTGCGGCAGTTCGCGCTTAGGGTTTGAGGAGGCGCCTCAGTTGTCGCGGAATGCGTTCGTGCTTCATCGACAACGTAATTCAAGAAGAACGCGTGTAATGTGTGCTAAAACGTGTGCTGGGAGCTCTTAGTGTTGGCCGTGTAGTCAGCTCGGGCATAGAATCGGAAGCAGGTAGAACAATCGGTCAGCTAAGCACCGCACGCAGCCGGTAGCCGCACCGGATGTGCCCTTCCTCTTGCGCCGCTATGAATGATCCTAATCGTGCTGCTCTCGTGGTGCCTCGGTCACTATCACTCCTCCCATACCCCCTCGTTGCTCGCAACCTCGTCCTGCGCCTGCTCACAGCGTGTACATGTTCCTCTTTCCTCTTTCCACCTTCTCCTTTTCCCCTTCCCCCTTCCCCGTCCGCTTCCTCCTTACACTCTTTCCCCCTTCCTCCTTGTCCCTTCCTCCTTCAACCTCTATTCTTCCCGCTTCCCCGTTCCCCGTCGGCGCGCAGGAGTGAGCTCGTCCCGGCGCAAGTCGCGGAAGGCGCACTTCACGGCGTCGTCCAGCGAGCGCCGCATCATCATGAGCTCCAGCCTTTCGTCGGAGCTGCGCAACAAGTACAACGTGAGTCCCCATCGCGCGCACGCCGCGCCCTGCGCACGTTTCGTGCAATGTTTAGTCTCAGCGGGGGAGCGCACGCAGGTGAAGTTGAAAGAGGACTGCTCTGTTACGGTGTAGGTTGCACGGACCCTGAAACGGAGCCGCAAACGCCTTTTTGGGGCTAGCTTTGTGCCACGCCTGTGAGAGGTAGTGAGGGGGCACTACACGAGCAGCGATGGTAGTGTTCAAGCGGGGGCGGAACCCTAGCTCAGGACGAGCGATGAGAGGCGAAGGAAGCAGTGTTACAGGCACTCACGTTGCCCATAGTTTCTGTCCACGGCGCATGCTGATTGGTTTAGTCAGTCTGCACGTGTGCTAGACAAGGCTCGTGCATGTATACCGATCCCTGCCGTCCCACTTCTCCTGCGAAACGCGTGCGTCGCGCCATGGACCTGGCAATCACAGTGTCTTCGCTCCCTCCGCATTCACCCATGCCCCGTGATTGTGGTCTGCGTATGCGGGTGTTTTCCAATGTTGGTGTGCGCGCGGCAGGTGCGGTCGGTTCCGATCCGCAAGGACGACGAGGTGCAGGTGGTGCGCGGCACGTACAAGGGGCGTGAGGGAAAGGTGGTGCAGGTGTACCGCCGCAAGTGGGTCATCCACATCGAGCGCATCACGCGCGAAAAGGTCAACGGTGAGTCAACGCCCTGCCGCCCGCCTCTGATATGAGCTATTTGTCGCGTTGCTGCACCGGCAGACACGCGGTGCTGCGGCCTACCAGGTTCGTGTTGCTGCGCTAGCGGGCACGCGCTGCTGCTGAGCTATCAGACACGTGTTGCTGCGGTAGGGGGCATGTGTTACTGGGATAGCAGGGACTTAAAGGCTGCATCACCATTGGGCGTTTGAGCAGCTGTGTGTGGGATTGCGGGCTGATTCTGGAGGCTATGGGTTCTGGTGATGGCGCTCCGGCTGATGGGTCACGCTGTTATTCTTAACAGCGTGCTGCTGCATCCTCTCTTGTGCTGTGCTGTGCTGTGCTGTGCTGTGCTGTCTTGTGTTGCGTGCTATGCCTTACTGTTCTGACCCGTGCTGTGCTATAACATGCGAACTGCTGTCGCTGTTCTGTGTGGTGCTCTGTGTGCTGTGCTGCTGTGCCATGTGCTTCCCCGTGGTGTCCCATGCGGTGGCGGACGTGTGTGTGTGGTGCGTGTGTGCGTGTGTGCGTGGGCGTGCATGTGGTGCGTGCAGGAGCGACGGTGAACGTGGGAGTGCACCCGTCCAAGGTGGTGATCACGAAGCTGAAGCTGGACAAGGATCGCAAGGCGCTGCTGGACCGCAAGGCCAAGGGCCGCCTCGCGGACAAGGGCAAGGGCAAGTACACAGAGGAGACCGCGCAGCCCATGCAAGACGTCGACTAAATTACCGCCCCGCCCGCCCTGCAGCCGCCCTGTCGGGTGTCCCATCCGCTCTCTGCCTCGCCCCCGCGTCTGTGCTTCCCTCGGTCTTCGGTCCTGGTTGCTGGTTCCGCCCTTCCGCCCTCGCGCCTGGTCGCCGTGTATACGTGTGTAGGCATGTTTAGGAGCAGGCAGGGCTGGCATGGCACTGATGGCTTGGTCTGTTGGGTACCGTATCTCTTTAATGGAAGAATCTAGTTGTGCAAGTGTACTTGTAGCTTTTACAAGTGATGGTTCCTCAATAGGTGGGACCACAGTTGATTCAATACCTTGGAGTTTAGGGTTGGCAATGTGCTTTAGATGGCAACAGGTTTGCAACAGAGCATACCGTACCATGCCTTTGAGGACACAATGCTGGATGGATTGCTACTAGTACACTCTCCACCTCGGTCTCTAATACGAAAGTACTGCATCGGCGTGATGACAACTGCTCTAAATTCAACGGCTAAATGCACCCAGGGAGTGCCCATAACTAGCAAGCTTTGTCGCTGGCACGTGAATTCCATAGTGCGGCTGACGAGCCTTTGCCATCCTGTCACACCCAGATGGCCTGGGGAATGAACGACCTGCCAGGTGACACACATGCATGCGGGTGGTTGCTTGGCCTGTTCACAATATGGATTACGGACGCATAGTGGACTGCGGCACAAGGTGCTGTGCGAATGACAAGGGATGGCATGCGGATGATGCAGGGGAGTGGGGAGTACCTATGGGCCAGCGGGGAATGCAGTGGCAGGGACGGGTAAGTGCTGCTAGTGGCAGGGATTTGGATGCAGTGGTGATGACAGAAAGGAATGCAGATCGTGGCAAGGAAGCCGAGAGATGCATGGGGAGTTGTGAGTGGACGCACGGTGGCAGAGGCGGGCATGGCATGGCAGCAGTGTGCGTGCATACCACATGGGTGCAGCGACTGCGGGTGAGAGAGGGGCGAGCATGGGAATGCTGCTGCTGCGCGGCCCCCTGTGCACCCTGGTGAGGGGGAGGAGGGGAGAGGACGGAGCGGCGCAGGCGAGATGCGGATGGCAAGGGCAATAGAAATAGGAAGTGAGTTCAGCACTCACTGCCACTATCATTGAGTGAAACTCACGGATCCAGTTTCAGTGCGATAAATAACCAGAGGGAGGATGCATGCACATACACACTCGAATCCAACCTAGGGCACCACTCACGTGACGCCTGCTTCTGCCAGGTGGCGGTCTTGGATTGGCCATGAGCCTGTGATGGCTTCCGGGCCCCATGCCACCACGGCACCCCCAGCAGACGCTGATGGTGCAGAGGTGGATGAGGGAGGGGCGGTGCAGGGGATGCGTGCATGCATGGCAGCATGTACTGCCGCTGCCACCACTGCTGCTGTGTCTGATGGCTTGCTGCCGCCTGATGGGGAGACAACGAGTGGTGCAGGCGAGAGGGGCAGGAGGACGGGGGATGGAGGGAAGACAGCAAGTGAGCTGTCTGTATGGCACCGGAAGGGCACCACAGGGGCCCAGTGCTGATAGCAACAGAGGGTTTGCTCAATCGTGCGCATTGACTGTTGCAGCGACTCACAGGTGAGTTGCATGAGAGCTGGCGCACAACTGAACGGTGCCGTGCTGCTACGGGCATCTGGTTTTGCCCATGGGTTAGGAATGAATGGGATGAGTGGTGGGAGTGGAAGGGGGCAGGGATGAGTGACTGACCGTGGAAGAGCAGCACCTTGATGTACTTGCTGTGGCGCGCCACATCCATGCTCCATACCTGCCCACGCACGCGAGAAGAATGCAAGTGGAACGCGGTGTGACGAGCAATGCAGAGAGCTCGGTGGGAAATGTGCAAGTGAGGGTGAGGGTGAGGCACAAGTGCCAGGCTAACTCGCCAACACCACCAACCTGCCATCACGCCTCACTCACTCACTCACTCACTGTCAGCGCGGTAACATCTGAGTCGCCGCACGTGCCTTGTGTGAGCGTGCTTCCCAGACTCACCATGAGGGCATCGTTGCACCGTGCTCCTGACCACGGCAGGGGCTCCACTCCCAGCAACTGCGCACAGAAATGCTCCCTCTCCACCATCCAATCCACCTGCGCGCACAGCACACACACCCACAAACATGCACGCACCCACACAGAGGCAGCCACGAGGCACAGGTGCTTCAGATGCCCCCCCATGTGAGCAGCACTGCAGCAAAGCGTGCACGCATGGCAGTGGCTTGTGCCGTGCTGGGTGTGAGGAGCGCACAGGCGGCACGTGTGTGCGGGTGTGATGAGTCACCTGGGCGGCTGATGGCAGCACGAGGAAGGAGGCCGAGTTAGAAGCACGCTGGGATAGCTGGTAGAGAGGAGGTAGTAGAGGGGAGGTGATAGAGGACGGTTAAGGGGAGAAGGAGGGCTTTAGCGAGAGCGTGCAACAAGGCATGCAGATATATGGGTTGGCGCACGCATGAGAAGAGGAAGCAGGGAGATGAAAGGGATGGGTAGAAGCGTGACGGCGTGTTGTGTGCATCCAGCAAGTTGTGTGATGATGCAAGCATGTGATGTGACAAGATGTAGCATCCTAGGTCCATCATGTAAGAAAGCACCATACTACGCAGTATCTTTTTCCCAACAATCCACCGCCCCTCTCTCACCATCACAAACAGGCATCCACTGCAGCAGCCACATGCCCAGCCCCCCAGCAGATGCATCATGCCAAAATACATTGTCTTAATATTCTAAGCCACCCCCAGCACTCCACCTTCTCTTCAATCAACCCCCACACCCCCCTCCAACCCCCTCCCACCCTTCCCCACCCCACTCTCACCGTGTGCACATAGCCATCCACAGCAGCAGCCACCTGGTCGCCTCGTCTCAGCCACTCCACCCGCGCACTGCTCTCCCGCACCCGCCTCTCGCCCTCCTCCCCGCCCCGCACCCCAAACGCATGCATTGACGGTGGCAGCACGTGTGGCGGCGCGGTGAAGCCTGCACGCGCGTACAGGTGCTCGCCCACGTCTGAGTAGAGCACCTGAGGGAGGAGGGGGCGGGAATGTGCCATTGAAATGAGTCGACTCATGAGTCACCGCGGTGAAGCCTGCACGCGCGTACAGGTGCTCGCCCACGTCTGAATACAGCACCTGAGGGAGGAGGGGTGGGAATGCGCCATTGAAACGAGGTGCCATTGAAACGAGGTGCCATTGAAACGAGGTGCTTTTTGAGTCGACTCAACAGTCACCGCGGTGAAGCCTGCACGCGCGTACAGGTGCTCGCCCACGTCTGAATACAGCACCTGGGGAAGAGGGGGGCGGGAATGGGGGGTGAGGGGAATAGGGGAGATGGGTGATACGGGAGCAAGAGAAAAGGTGGCGCACGGAAATGGGGGTTGGAGCGGATAGGCATGGCAGAGCAGAGCAGCACGCAGTGTGAAAGAATAATCGGATCTCATCCCATGATGAACGAGAGGCAACAGCATGCGAGAGAGGGCCGGCGTAGAGTGAGTGAGCGGCAGCAGTGCGCGTGTGGCGCATTGTGGGAGTTGTCAAATCTGCTTACGCTGCCTACCTAGAGTGCATTTAGTGCCTCTAGTGCTGGCAGTGCTGGCAGTGCTGGCAGTGCTTACAGCAGCGAGGGCGGAGGGGTCGGACTGTGCGAGCAGGGGAGGCACGGCGCGGCACAGGTGGGTGGCCAGGCCCTGACCTGGTGGGCAGAGGGGGCGTGGGGTGGAGTGTGGCTGTATGTTGTATGGCGAGAGAAGAACATGCTAGGGTGGACTCAAAAGGCAGGAAGAGGGGCAGGATGGAGCAGGATGGAGCAGGATGGAGCAGGATGGAGCAGGATGGAGCGTGGTTGTATCGTGAATAGAATGGCAGGGAGATGTGGGAGGCAACCATGTGCCTGAGGGGAAGCAGTGCAGGTGCTGCACTGGTGTGCGTGCTGTGCAGGGTGGGGGGGCTGCACTCTCTATCCCCCTGTCGCTCACCTCTCATTGCGGGCGGTGTGAACACAGACGCAATGCCATACGCGTTCCCCTTGCGTGCTCGTGATGGTGAGTCTGACGGTGCTGCTGCTGGTTGTGCTGCCGATGGTGCTGCTGACGATGTGGGTGCGTGGGGAGGGGAAGGTGGTGGCGGCGAGGAGGAAGCGAGGGCAGGGAGGAGGAGAAGAGCGTCCTGCAGGGCAGAGGGGCATGGCATGGCATGGCAGGGGGAAACGGGGATGGACGGGTGGAATGGAATGCTTCAGATGCTTCATAAGGCGAACTCAGAGGCGAGCCAAAACGCCATGTTTGCGGTGCAGCAGGATTCAGAATCACCTCTGAAACTCTTCCCCCCCTCCTCCACCCACCCTGCCCCCAACCCACCATCCCCCCCCCCACTCCCCCACAGCGGCACAGTGGCACGTCACGTGGCGGTATGAGGTGACTTTTGAGTCGACTCAAAAGTCCCCCCCAATCGACCACAGCGACACACGGGCACGGCACCTGGCGGTATGTCTCTAGCGACTCCAGCACTCTCCTGTGCTCCACCCTGCCCGCAACCCACCATCCCCCACCTCTTCCCCCCATACACACACGGGCACGGCACCTGGCGGTATGTCTCTAGTGACGCCAGCACTCTCCTGTGCTCCACCCTGCCCGCCCTGCCGCCCCCACCGCTGCTGCTGCTGCCGCATGGCACGGACACGAACGCCACACTCTGCTCCCCCGTGCTGCTCGCACTCGTGCTGGCAGAGCCGCTGGCAATGGCGCTGGCAGTGGCATGGGTAGGCACGGGCAGGTGTGGCAGTGCTTGGTGCTCCTCGGGTGTGCGTGCCTCTGCTTGCTCCTCTGACCCATCCGCGTCTGGTGGGAGGGGGCACATGGCATGAGGAGCAGAGGCGGAACGAGAGATTAGGATGAGCGCGGACATGGGTGCAAAGCGGTGAAGAGATGACTTGCGAATGCAATGCCGGCGCATGTGCATATGCACACACCCCTACATGCACAATGGCACCCGCCCCCATGCAAGCAGCAGGCAGGCGCAGCAGCAGGCAGGTTCAAAAATACGGTCGTGGCTCTCAGCCGCACGCACTGGCATGTAGCCCAGCCAGTCAAACAGCCACCGCCACCACCACCGCCACCACCACCGCCTCTCTTGCTCTCGCACGCATCAGCTCTAGAAGCACATGGCATGACGTGGCATCAGAATGACGTGGCACGACCTGATACGAGGGCCCATGTGCGCAGATTGGCTTGCGCCCATGCATGGCTGCCCAGCTGCTGCTCGCGCTGCAGGAACTGGGGGCGGGGATGGGTCGGGGAGGGGGAGAGGGGATGCGGAAGGAACGAGGGGGAGGGGATGGGGGGAGAGGAGAATAGGGAGGAGGAAAAGAATTGGGAGGAGGGGGGAGAGAGCAACACAGAGTCCCAAGATTCGTCTGTACAGCCTCGGGAACGGAGGGTGAGGAGGAAGCAGGGGGGGATGGGAATCAGGAGGGGGAGAGAAATTGGGAGGAGGGGAGAGCATGAATCAAGGAAACGACACGTGAACCGGGAAGAGGAAGTTGCAGGGGGGAGGGAGCGGGGAAGGTGTGAGGGGGGTGGGTGAGGGGGAAGAGGGTTGACAACGCGGTAAGGGGAAGAAGCAGTAGGGAGAGCGGCAGAGCGTTGAATGCAAGCCATCGGTTGATGAATTATTCAGAACTCAAGACGAGCATCTCGCAGCGACAGTTAGGAAAGGGGCACGGTCCGAACAACGAGCAGCAGGCGGAAAAATCTCGCAGCGTGTCGCGCGTCTTAGCGAGGAAATGGCAGTGAGCGAATGCGCGGAAATCACTCCGACTCGGTGGAAGTCTACAGTCGACTTGCAAGAACGGAGTGCGTTGAACGAACCCGACTCGGCGCGCAGCTGACCTGTTGGAGGGTCAACGCTGGCGCCCACGTGGTGTGCTGCGACACTTGGATCTCGCGACACTCGCGCGGGCTGGTTACCTCGACGACGCGAAGCGAGCTCAAGGGAAAGAGTGATGCGGTAAGGGAGGCCATGGCGTGACCGTTGGTAGCAGTGTAATGCACACGAGAAGAGGTGATGCTGGCGCGCCAGTGAAGACATTTGGAATCCGAAGTCCAGCTCCTGCAGTACAGGCAATCGCATACTCGCTATACGGTCGGGAATTCCTGCGATTGCTCTCTTATGTGAGTGCATGGTAAGGAGTAAAAACACCTCAACGGGTTCCTGTTTATACAACTGAAAGAGGCTTCAGTAAAAACAGGAGATATCGGATCCGTGGTTGGTTATGTACACTCAGTTCAGTTTGCCACATCGGATTATGCTCCTTGCACATAAGTTTATTACATGATTACTTTGATAGATGCTGAATATATACGGTAGTACATCAGCACGCTTTGCTTCTACAATTTTTGCAGAACAGCAAGCCACTGCCCCATTTCCAGTATACTATTCTACTTTTACAATGTTATGTACTAGTAAATGCAGGTCACGATCATCTGTTGGCCTCTACTCTTTTCTCTGCATGCTCCACCTGCACAAGGGTTGACAAGAAGAGACAATGCAAGTGCGGCAGGACTTGAGGACGGGGGGAAGAAAGAAGGAGGATGGAAGCACAGGAAGAGGGGCAGGGCAGCCCTAAATGAGCGATTTGCAGTGAGCTACCGTATGAGCAGCATACCTGCGCAGACCAATCAGTGGTGGCCACGTAGTACCCAAAGATGGCGGTTTGGATTGCCTCCCCCACAATTATGGATAGCCAAAGGCCCTGGGTGGTCATGTGGGAAGACAGGCGTGAGATTTTGAAAGAATGAGCCCCATTTCGAAAAACCTGGTTAGAGAGAGATAACAGCGAGAATGTGGGTCCGTGGAGTTGGTGTGGCGGGATTGGAGAGCATGAGCTGACTGCGTTTTCCTCACATGCAAGGCCGTGCTGAAAGGGCAGGCCAGTGATTGCCCTGTGTGCGTGCGTGTGCCAGTACAAGCAGCAACGTACAGAAACGCCGAGGTGGAAGGGGTGGAAGGCGAGGCCGTAGGCGAGGGGCAGAGCGATTGCATAGAAGGTGAAGCCATTCACGCCCGTGCCCACTGCTTGCTGCCCTGACCCCCGCAGCACTCCTGGTGTGGGAGGGCGGAGCAGGTAGTGGGAATTGTGGAAAGGGGAGGAAGTGCTATCTGAGTTGACTAAGCACAGCACCGCAAAGCGCAGGATGGCACATCGGGGGGTTGGAAAAAGCGGGGGGAAATGAGGTAGGCGTTTGATTTGAGAGCATGAGGGGGAGAATGCAGCAAAATCAAACACTGAGGCAGCCGGCGGGGAAAATGTAGCTAAGAGAGAGGCAGTGGGGTGGGTTAGACGGGTGCACCTGAGAGGATGGTGGGGAGGCAGAGGCCCGGTTGTGACACAATGAGGAAGGGCATGAGTGTGCGCACGAGGGCAGCCACGTCGGGAGCAGAGGCACCGGTGAAGAAGAGGATGAGAAAGTCACGGATGAAGAGCAGGAAGAGCGCTATGAGCGCGGAGAGCAGCACCGATATGCACATTGCCACGGCCACCGCCCGCCGTGCTGCTGCTGGGCTCTTTGCTCCCAGCGCGTTGCTCACCCGCACACTGAGAAAGAGGGGCGCAGGGGTGACCGGGGGGGGGGGGGGGGGGGGGTTGGTGGGGAGAGGGGGATATATATAGCTACTGAGCTGGCTCAGAAATTGTACCGCCACTTTGCTCTTGCTCCTATCATATTGTTCGCCTGCACACAGATGGGGTTAAGGGGCGAAAAGGAGAAAGGGAGGATTTGTGCGGAAAAAGGGGGGGTAGGGCAGGTGAGTGTATACAGAATGGAGGGGTCGAGATGCGGGTGATTGTGATACACTAGTTACTGACGAGCTGACAGTCCTGGGAGAATAGAAGCTCTCAGCAAACATGTAAGGTCGGAAATTGAAGGGTATATCCAAGTTGTGGCGTGGGGTGGAGTGGTGTAGAGCGGTGTGAGGTGGTGGAGCGGCATGAGAGGTGAGCGCACCTGGCGGCGATGCCAAAGGCGAGTGAGAACATGAAGCAGAAACCAGCAGTCTGTAAACTGCACACGGAAGGATGGAGGGGAGGGGGAGGGGGGAAGGGGGGTTGGGGGAGGATGAACAAGGAACACATTAGATGGCATGGCATGCGGGAAGAAAGGACGTTGAGGGTTGAATGCTTGTGGCGAAGAACGGCCGCCAAGAGACGAGTGTGTATAGGCTGAAGCACATACGATAAGTTCAGCTTCGGAGACACTATGACAAAAAATTGAAGGATCCAGGATTTGGAGTTCAGAAGAACGCGGTCAAGCTGAATAACGGCCGTCTGAATCACCACATATCAGCGCACCTTATGGTCATGGCTGCGACGTTGACAGCAGGGTTGGGTAGCAGGCCGGAGACAAGAGTGACGATCTCAAAGAACCACCACTCCAGACTGCCATGCCGGGGGGATGCAAGGAGCGGGCCACGAAATCGGAGGTGTGGGCAGGGATTGGGAGGTGTGGGTCAGGGATTGGGAGGTGTGGGTCAGAGATTGGGAGGAGTGGACCAGAGATGGCACTAGAGGTGCCTGAAATATCGTCTCATCACGCGCAGGGTTGGGCGGCAGACGGAGACAAGAGCAACAGTCCGGAAAGCCCACTCCAGGATCCACAGCTCAATCCCACCACGACATAGCACAGGACGACACAGCCACAGCTTATGAGAGTCGTTCCTGAGAATTCTCAGTTTTGTTGCAATCTCTTTCTAAGAGTTGTATGTACAGGGGAAAAAAACTAAACAAAAAAACAAAAACAAAAAACTCCAAAAGCACCTGACACCTCACCATATCATGGCACAGGAGGGCACTGCCACAGTGAGGTAGGGCCACCAGCCGGAGAAACAGAGGGTGAGCGACCAGCCGCGCCAGCAGCGGGAGAGCAGTTGATGGGAGCTGTCAAACAGAGCGAGGTAGAGCAGTGCGAGGAGCAGCTGGAAGAGCAGCGTGAGCGAGAGGGCCATGGCTGCTCCTGTGAAGCCGAGGGCGAACGTGTGGATGAGGAGGTAGGAGGCGAGGGAGAGGAAGAGGAGCGAGACGAGGGAGATGAGGGTGAGGGGGAGGGTCACGCCTTGGACCTAGGGATAGGGAGGGAGGATGCATGCCGAGGGAGACGAGGAGAAAGGGGAGGGCGCGGGAAAAAAGGAGTGTTGGAATAAGGAAGGGAGTGAAAGAAAAAGGTGTGACGGAGTAGAAATATGCAAGAAAGAAAAAAAAAAGAAGAAAAAAGGAAAGTCTGAGCGGGAATGTAGTTCAATGCAGGCAACGCTAGGAGGTGCACAAGCCGCCTGACAGGCAACATCGATGGAAGCTGCGCCTGCTTGTATCCCAACGCCCATAAAGTACATTACTAGATACAAGCAGATAGTGGATGCCAACACAGAGCACGAACACCCTGGTGTCGAACTGGAGGTGGGGTTCATAGACGAATTTCCAACCCAATCTACCGATTTCGCTCTGCAGTTCCCTTTCCGATTTCGCTTATTTGTCGAGAACCCAAGCTGGGAACCTATCTCTTTGCGTGATAGTCATAAGCAGCTGACCTGCATGAACTTGGTGATAGGGAGGAACGCGGCGGACGCCACCAGGCCCGGGATCTCCCATGCAATGTACAGCGCTGCCCCGCTCGCTATGGCGTGGTCCTGGAAAATGGAAGGGGACGGAGAGGAGAGAGAGCAGGATAAGGGGGCATTGGCAAGGGAAGGGCGAGAGCAAGGAGGAAAGCCAGAGCCATTTGGTTTTACACTGTGAAATTACATGAAGGGCTAAAACACATTACTGCAACCTCTTCGACCTCTGTAAGCAGCAGCAGCAGCAGCAGCCGCAGCCGCAGAAATTCTGTAGCGAGCCAAAACTTCTTTTGAGGCGCTTCAGGAAGTGTCTCAAAACCTTCGAGTCGATTCAAACTTTTACTCAAAAGTATCACTTCGTGTTGACTCGCCCACAACAAATGAGCGCACCTGGCCTGTGAAGAGCAGCAGCGGTCGCGTGGCGAGCCAGCAGGCGGAGATGGGGAGGCAGGCGAGGGTGAGGATGAGGTGCACGCGCTGCAGCATGGTCCCCAGGTTCGCCAGGTCCCCTGCTCCGTATGCCTGCCCGCACACCGTTTCCATGGCGCTCGCCAGGCCTTCCTGAGGACGCATGCACGCGTGGGGTAACAGGTATGGGGGAAACGACGTGGACGGGTATGGGGGAAACGACGTGGACGGGTGGGGGTGGCAGCGTGGACGGGTGGAGCAAAGGGGAGAGGGAAATTGGAGTCGAGTCAAATGGCACACAGCGGGTGGGGTGAGGGCGTTTGGGAGGGTGAAAAGGGGAAGGGGAGGGAGGGGGGGGAGAGGTCGGGGAGGGGGGAGGGGGGATGTGTGCGGGGACGACGAGTAGGGACGGCGGAATGGGACTGCCGCAGGTCAAGTGTGTACGCATCGTGAGCCTCCCATCCCCCCCCCCCTCTTTCCCACATCTTCCCTCTCCCAATTTCCTCCATCACCCACCCCCCTCCCCCCCCCCCCCCCCCCACTTTTAAATTGGAAAATTTTGTTTGAATTCTCAAAAACAGATTCCTGTTCTGGGCGTGGATGGGGTTACCAGCAGCGAGAAGCCAGTGACGTTCGCGAGCGCGGTGGCGATGGAAGCACACGCGAGCTCCTGCGTGCCCAGATGCCCCACGAACGCGAGGCACAGCAGCTGCATGAAGCTGTTCACCGCCATCGTGCCCGCTACCGGCAACCCCACGCTGCACTGCGCCGCTGCCTCCCCCACCCACGACGCCGCTCCGCACTCCACCGCCGCCTCGCGCTCGTGCAGCAGAACGTACTCGTTATGAGGTGCCGCGGTATCGGCTCCTTGGCATTGAGGGGGGGTGAGGAGGGAGGCGGTCGCGTCGTCTTGCCCGGCGTCAAGGCGGAGCGCGTGAGCCGTCGCGCGCTCCGGCACGTCCACCCTCCTATGGTCCACTGGAACTGGCGCCATGGCTGGCAGATCGGATCGTATCAAATCCGAATTCTCTTATCCGGCGCCGCTACCTTGAGAAGATGATCGTGCCCCCGAGAACGGTTGAGATTGCTCCGGAGGTGGACGCTGACGGTCAAAATTGAGGGCTAAGCTTCGTTGTGCTCCGCAAGAAGATAATGTAGAATGTGGAGTGATCGTAACCTTATGATGGAATAAGAGTCGGTGTTGAAATGGTCGCGGTCCCGAAGAATAACAACGATCTGATTCTATGGTGCACGGGAGGTCAGCCGAAGCTTGAATCAGCCATGCGATGGCATTCCAAGACTCGTTACACCGACTGACAACCAAACAAGCTGAGCTGTCGCACATTCCCGAAAAATCCTCTTCGGAACAACACGGGGTTGCGATGTCGCAAATACCTCGTCATAAAATTCGTCTGATGATCAAATTGTTGTCGAGCGTTTTGCTGACGTCGCAAATTGTTCAGAGCTTCATTCGCAGGTCGTCGTAAGACGTCGTTGGGAGTCGTAAAACGGTCGCATGTTACGAAGTGCTTTCTTCGCAACAATCTGGAATGCGGCCTGAGAATCTTTGCAACACCCAAACACGATTCACAACACCCCTGAACTTGAATCTGGGACTTTCTAGGCCAATCGTCGCTCGCACCTTGGAACCATGCACGGGACGCGTCCCAGATTTCGCTTTCGGGAACGGTCTTTACGGAATGAGAGAATTTTTAGAGCTGTATTTCGTTAATCGAACTTGGTGTACGATACCAGCCAGCTTCGGAATGGTACACGCTATAAAAAATCATAACACATACCAATACGGTACCATGGGAAGATGACAACTCTGAATATCCACACAAAAAACAAAAACATTCACTCAGCAACACACCTGCACCATATTATATATAAGCTGCTGCAATGGAAGAGAAGATCTACACTTCGTCACACAGCGTGCACATACAGTAAACAATACAAACTGATTGCGTTATTGAATGTTAAAGGAAGTCCCTAAGACCTGGGCCTGATTTTACGCAGCGGCAACGGATTGCTGAACAGGTCCTCCAAGTCTTCAGGGTCTCCCATTTGCATCGCCTCCATCTGCTCCAACACCTCCCTGTCTTCCTTCCTCAGCCCCTTCACAAAGTTCTGCTCATCCTTAAAAAGCTCAGCAAACCCTCTTCTGAGGCCCTCAAAGAGCTTCAATTCATCCTTGCCTGCTTCCACCACCTTCTCCTCCAGCTGTATCACCTCCGCCACCACTGCCTTCTCTGCCTGCACCACCTTCTCTTCAAACTGCAACACGTCAGCCACCAATGCCCTCTCCACCGCCTCCACCTTCTTCTCCAGCCGAGCAAATAGGGGCTGCTCGGCAGGGCACGTGTTATCTGTGGTGACGAAGTCTGCAAAGTTGAGCCCCACGGACTGTGCAGATCGCTCCAGCTCTGGGATAATGCGTGGCGGGATGGTGCGGCTGCGAGTGTACAGCACCGCCCCACCATACCCGTCCCAGGCGTCGTTGCTGCCGCGGTAGTAGACAAAGAAGTAGTCGTCCTTGGTGTCACTTACGTTCGACGAGATGATGAACCTGCAAGGACCATTTGTCCGCATCAGAGGGTCACAGATAACAACAGGGGAAACTTGCATTAGGATAAGGTGTAGCGGCTCATATATAATAAAGAAAACACTGACCCTGCCACATTAGCCTATGCCCCCAGCCGACTTACCTACTGTCTTGCAATGGACGCATTATGTTTTATGAATGAACATTTGCACGACAAGCTCACACCTTTCCAGCTATTACCCCTTCACCATTTCTTCCCCTTAGATCCGTCAAAATCTTCTGAACGATTAAAAACATATACAGCGTCCTCTTTCTCCCACTCGCTTCCCCTTCCCTCTTTTCCCCTTTCCCGCCAACCACCCCCCCAACCCCCCCTCCCCCCCCCCCCCCCCCCTCTCTCCCCGTACCCCACTCACCAGTTGTCCTAGTAGTGGAGAAAAACGGTTTTCCTATTCCCAATCTCCTTTTCACCCTTAACCAATTCTCCTTCCCTCTTCACCCAACCTCCCCTTCCCTTCCCCCTCCCCCAGCCTCACCCCTTCCCCCCACCCGCTCACCAGTCGTCCTGGTAGTGCAGGAACTCGTTATCATGGTTCAGCAGCACGCCGGGCTGCGCGGGGTCCTGCACGAAGTCCTGCAGCGCGGAGCGCGTGAAGAACCCGCCGTCGGGCGTGTTGATGCGCCACGTGATGTCCACGCGGAACTGCCCCTCACCCGTGGGCTGGAACGTGTGCAGCTGGCAGTCGTACGTGTCGAACGTGGGGTTCAGCCCGCTCGTGATGAACCACACCCCGTCCAGCTTCCCCACGTCGAACTCCGCCACGAGCGCTTCGGCGGGCGGGAGCGGGAAGAGGTTCTCGTCCTCCTTTTGCGGGACGCAGCCGGACTTGGTGATGGCGCACGCGTTGAAGCGGTCAACGACCTGGTTCTCGAACAGGTCTCCGCACCCGATCTGGCACTCCGTCTCGTCCGGCCGGCCGTTGCACGACTGCAGGCACGCGATGTTCGCCGCGCACTTCACGTCGCCCAGACACTGCAGCAGCTCCGTTCTGCGTTGTGATAAAGGGATGAGAGGAAGGGGGAAGGGGGAGGAGGGAGGAGAGCGGGAAGAGCAAGGAAGAAATGGGGAGCGAAATCGTGGTTGGGGAATAGTAGGCCGGGGCCGGGAGTGGAAAACGCGGAGTCATCAGCGCACAATAATGCGCTCTCTCGCGGGTGAAATATCTCGGGCGCGTCGCGAGCGTCGTGGAATCGGTCAAGGAGGGCTGCCGCCATGGCTATGTATATCCGCATCTATCGCAATACGGTCTACTTGTGCATGTGAACTTGTATTCCTCCCGATGGCCATTCAGGCATCTTTAATAACTTACCCGCAATTTGTGAGAAACGAATTGTGAGGAAATGATTCGTAGGATACTTGAAAGCATTCCACAAATTACTTGATCTTTCATCGCGTGTCTCCACTGCCGCGCTGTCGACCTTAGACTCACCTTACAAGGCACTGCCTCACCGTGGCACTTCCTCGCATCGCTCCATCGGCGCGTTCTCGACGGCTCACCTGCACTGGCCCAGCAGGCACGTGCACGTCTTGAGCGTGTCCGCCGCGAGCGCCATGCCGCCGCTGCCGCTGAACGGGTCGCTCAGCGCCAGCACGCACGCCAACCCCGCAGCGGCTGCCCCTCGCATCAGCCACGTGCCGTCTCGCCCGCGCTCCTCGCTGCTTCCGCTTGCTCGCACCGGTCGTGAAGACGCTGGCTGGCGAGACGCGCTGGCGCGCGCGGGCGCGACGCCGTGTCGCTCAGCAAGTGGGATGCGGCGAAGGCCGACATACGTCGCAGTCACGTGCGGGTTGTGGAGAGACGGAGTCGGCAGTGGCATGATGGCGTGGCTACGCAGGCCGGTGCCCGCGTGAAGGGAGGACAGCGCCATAGCAGCAATGTCTTGCTTACCTCGAGCGCAAGTGGTCCCTGGAACTGTCTTTGCTATCCTCCCGAGGCCGCAAGACGGATAAGATGTGAGTTCGAGTCGAGGGAGAAGCGACTGTATAGGAAAAGCAACGTAGCGGCAATAAATGTGGGCAGGGCAGTGAGTCGAGAGATGGAGGGAGATCCCTCAGGCTGGCCAAGGGGAGGAGGCCACACATGAATCGCGAAGGCAGTGTGGCACGGCGCGCGCGAGATAAGTTGGGCGTTTATTGGCTGAGTGACGACTCGCGAAACGGGTTACAAAGTGCTCCTGGCCGCACTTTTGATGCACCCAGCCGTTCGTTCAGGTGCAGGTGACGTGGGGCATTTACATCCACGTGGATTCGGCTGACCTGGTCTGGGCTCTCGGCTTGTGTGGTTGGTTTGGAGGGAAGCCCGAACCGCCTGTTCTTGGACAAAGTCCCGCCCGGCCTACTTCTGGCCAGAAACAGGTGGGGGACGTCATGGTTCGACATCCTCGCCCGTAGAAGCCCCATTACATCTAAAGATAAGAAAAGTAACTTGTCAAGATAAAAGTGTGACGAGCACATTCTCATGACTGCGGCCATACATTCTCCAGACGACTAACGCCTTTCCTGTACAAATATGGAATAGAGTAGGATGGCGTTTGACTGTTGAATAAGAACATAATGTATCATAATTTATTGAAGTAAGCAGCAATATACAAGAAATATAATGTAGTGTGAGGTTTTTTGGCATATTCGCTCACAGAAACGAAGTTGATTCGCACTTCTATTCACAAGCAATGGGATGGGATGCACACGCACCCAGAGATATTTACTGCTATGCAGCACGATATGCTGACCTGTCAACCATAGCACAGTGAGCTGACGAGTGGTTTCATTTGGAGTACGTGTACCCTAGACTAGACTCGAATAGAACCGCCCTGACCTGCTGAGACCTTTCTGTCTGCCTTGCCTGCTGTCGTGCGTGGTAGGTACAGGCTTGCTCCTGCCTTTCAGAATCCATACCCACCTCAGTGTGAAGGACAGCGAAATGTGTCTTTATGTAGAAAAAGTTTTCAGCTGTAGTACTGTCAGTTGGGGAATACTTATTCACGTAAGCACAGGCCGCGGCGCGATCACATTAGCTACAATCATAGTAGGCTCGAGGGTTCCTTTCAGCGCCGCGTCAGCGACTCACCGCGATTATATCACATCCTGCGTCGTCTAGTAGCGCAACCATAACGGAATGACAGACCCAATGGCCTCAGCCCGCAACATGCGGCTGCGGAGCCGCCGCTTCAGCCTCCGCGCTTGCCGCTCCTCGGGTCACTGGGCTCTAGAGGCGGCGCCGGTGAGCTGTGGTCAGGGGATGGCCGCCGCGCGTCGCCGTGAGAGCCGCGTAGCAGAGCAGCTGCAACGGCAGCAGCAGTTGTTGACTCCACGGAAGCGGCAGCAGCAGCAGCCGTTGACGCAATGTCCGAAGCGGCGGCAGCAGCAGCGGCGCGCGCTGGAACTCGCAGCATGGTGCTTCGCCGCCCTTGCCGCCACGCGCCTCGCAACGCCCTTCGCCATGGTCCACGCCGTGTCGCTCGAGGCGTCGCAATGTGAGGGAGGGGGGGGGGGGGGGCGCTTCGTTGTTGTAATACCCTTAGGTGGCGGTTGGCCGCACCCACCGCTTCCCCTTGGCTCTTCCGAAGAGGAGACTCCCGAAGTTCCACCTCCGCCGGCGCCCATCAAGCACCTCTCATCCCTTCCCTTTTCCCCGCTTCTCCCCATCATCCCACCGCCATCCTCTCCCATCGCCCATGCTCGCCGTCCTCTTGCCGCACTGCAGTTCCTGCACGACTGTCAGTCCGCATGGGGGCGCACGTTCCCGGGTTGGAGCGGCGCCAACCCCGACTGCTCAACCATGCCTTATATCGACTGTGACAGTAACGGCATGATTGTGGACATGTGAGTGCCTTGCGCGGTGCGCCTGGGCACATTTCGCGCCCATCTGGGGAGGATGACGCCCTGTGGCGCTGGTGCAGGGGGGATGCCCCACTGCGCACCCACACAGGGGGAAGGAATGCCCTCTCTGCGCGGTCATGCAGGGGGGAATGCCCCCATAGCGCCTCCTGGGCGCGTCATGCTCTGTGTTAGAGCGTCACCCTGAACCCTTCACTGCTCCGCTCTCATGCTGGTACCATACTGGTTGTGTGTGTGGCATGGAATGCGATGCAATGCTGTGCGATGCGATGCAATATGATGTGATTTTACGGTGTGATATGATGCAATGTGATGCGATGCGATGTTGATTCACATGAGAAGCCCATGCCTGCCCACCACTCTTTGAGGCGCCTCAAGGGCCGCTTGGTGTGGCATGTCATGTGATGATGCAATGTGCTGGTGGTGCAGGCTCCTTTGGAGCGAGCAAGCATCATTTCTTGAGGTTCCGAAAGTTTTCTGTGCGGTATCCTGCGGTGCGATGCGGTTTGTTGATGCAGGTTCTTATGGGGCAAGAATCTGCAAGGGCCCATTCCCGACTCCATTGGCAACCTCAGGAACCTCAACTACCTGTACGTGCTCTGGCGCCTTCTCAGGTACCTGCTGCATTACATTCTTTGGGCTCCTAGAACAATCAACAACCTGTAGGTGCTATTTGATCCTCTTAGCTGCCAGCTGCATGCATGTGCAAACCAGCCAGCTAGCCAAGTACTTTGTTGTGTGAGTAGTTGCATTTGGCGTGTGGAACAGTGGAGAGACGAAGGAGGGAGCGGGGTGGTTGTGGGGGGGATGCGATATGAGGAGTGATGGGGAATGGGGTTGGGGAGTTGCGAGAGCAGCACCAAGGCGATAGATGCGATAACTGTGTCAGAGGGAGGGGTGGAGGATGGGCGCTGGGGGCGCCTCAAAAGGCCATGGGTGGGTGTTGAGACGTCTCAAAACTGGGTGGGTACGCATGCACTGTGCAGCGAACGACCTGATGAGAAGCCTTGGTGGGGAGGCTTATGGCGTGCGCGCGTTGTTAGAAATAGGCTGTCAACACTTTGTGTACTCTTTTTTATATGCTGTAGGTTATTTGCGGGTTGGGTGTAGATTTGTAATCCCAACCCTATCCGGTTGGGATTCCCTCGTAATCCAACAAATCTGCCAACTCATTGGAGATTTGTTTGGATTCCCATCCCATCCTTTCCCTAGCTTTGCTCAACCCAACCTTGATTTTACTTAAGGCCTAGTGCCTTCTATACTAATCAATCACTTCAGCTCCATTTCTATCACGCATGGGGTGAGGAGATGGGAGCACGAGAGAGGTACGGTACACTGGAGCGGGTAGGAGACGCACTGTGCTGTGCTTATGAACCGGGTAGGAGACGGAGAAGAAATGGAGGAGATTATGAAAGTCGTTCCCTCTTCCCCACCCCACCTCACTCATCCCATATCCCCTCAACACTTTCCTGCCCTCCCTTCCCCCACTCCCATTCCCACTCCCCCCACCTATCGCATACCCCATTCATGTTCATTGTCACAGAAATTTCGCGAGCAATCGCTTCACGGGGTCAATACCCGCTACCATCAGCAATCTTGAGAAGCTAACGGAACTGTAAGGCCTCTCGCATCACAACTGTATAAGGCATCTCCAATCAGATCTTCTTGGGAGCTCCGCTCTGTTGCTCGCTCCAGTCCCCCCCCTGCCCTTCCTCTCCTCTTGCTTCTTTTCCTGCTGTCTTCTCTAGACCATTCCATCTCAACCCTCTCTAAACCTTTATGATTTTCTGTCAAATGCCCCGTTTGTGTTCCCTGCTACAGAAATCTAAATGAGAATCAGCTCTCAGGCTCCATCCCTTCCTCATTGTACACTCTAACAAACCTGGGATATCTGTAAGGCATTTGCTAAGACCCTACTGCTTACTCCCCCAACCCCTGTGCTTCCGTCAACCCCCATTGCCCGTCCGTTGCTATCGCCTGTGCTGTGCACATTCTGGAAACAACAATCGTCACGATGCCAACGTGTTGCTTCAGCTGTTTGTTTGTTTCTTACTTTGTTTTTTTCAGTATATTGTTTGGGTGTTTTTGTCGATCGTTCCTTACTTTCGATGAAGAACCCAAACTCACCTTGTTTTTTTCCCACGATGTGTCCGCCACATTTTCGGTCATCACTACAGAGGCCTCTCCGACAATCGCCTCACAGGCTCCATCCCTGCAGCAATCGGCAATCTTGCAAAACTGAACAGCCTGTATGTAGATGACTTTTTGAAACATCTCACAGAACCTGAAAGGCCTGTAAGCCCCTTTTCCTCTTCTTCTTCTCCCACTTGATACAGGCTGCTGCCAAGCCAACCCTCTTCCCCATTCTTCTCCTGTTTCTGGAGGCATCTCACCTCTATTCTTCCATTATGAGTCTTTCACTGTTTCTGTTTCTTAAAATATGGAACTTCCTCTTGGTGCTAATCTGCTGCTTCTCCCACGTTCCGTCATTTCCACTCCTATAAGCTGAGGAAACCCTTAGTGTTCAGTTGTGCTTCTCTCCCGGTCCATTTTCATCATTTCTCAGATACCTTCTCAACAACCAGTTCAGCGGCCCAATCCCCGCTGCAATCAGAAACCTCACGAATCTGGTTTTCCTGTAGGAGCCTCTGCCCCCCTCCGGCCTCCACCGATTCATCCTCTCACATCTGTCTTCATCTAGTTTTTCTGAGTATCAGTCTTCTCCTTCCCTTTTCTAAAACAATCCTCAGGTTTTTCTCTCACCTCGAGCCCCTCGCTCACACCCTCTACAGATACATGCATGAGAATCAGCTCACGGGTTCAATACCCGCTGCGATCGGCGACCTTAGAAACCTGCACCACCTGTGAGCACTCTCATTTGAGTCGACTCGGAGTCACCTCTCTGCTCTGCTTCTCTTCTGCACTTCCTCTCTCTCTGTCCCTGCCCCTCTCTCTCTGTCCCTGCCCCTCTGTCTCTGTCCCTGCCCCTCTGTCTCTGTCCCTGCCCCTCTGTCTCTGTCCATGCCCCTCTGTCTCTGTCCCTGCCCCTCTGTCTCTGCCACCCCTCTCCAATCTCCCCTCTGTAGCCGACTTATAATCACCCCTTGTTATTGTCTGCCCGTACTGCAGGTCTCTCGAAAAGAATAAGCTTACAGGTTCAATTCCCACTGCCATCGGCAATCTTACAAGCCTCTCAAACCTGTAAGCCCTCGTAGCTTTATTCTGCACTCACTCAACTACCATATGACAAAGACAGGTCAATTTGTGCTCTTCCCCTCCTCTTACTCCTTATCCTTAAATGCCCCTAAATTCCTGACCCCTTTAACTCACTTTAGCTTACCGGCTTATGAACCTTGCCTGTCTAGCCCCGCCCATCCGTTGCTGTGGTGTGGGAAATGCCACTCAAGGACTGCTATAGTGCTCATGTCATGTGAATGTGATATTGCCCTTGGGTGGGGTGTGCTATTGTCTGCCTGCCCACATCCCCATAATTCCCCATGATTCTGCCATCGGCCCATCACACTTTAAAGCCTTCTGCGGCTCTGCCTGTACCCATTGCATGCTCTGTTCATGTGCATCGCAACAACAGAGTAATTGCCGACAATCAGCTCACAGGCTCAATCCCTTCTTCAATTGGCAACCTGACAAACCTGATTTACCTGTAAGCTCACTCGCTCCTATCTCCACCCCTCCTCTCCTCCGCACTTTCACGTCCCAGTTGTTTATGACTACTACGTTCAGTCTGTGCTCAACCACTCCATTCACCCCTCCTCCTTTTTCGCCTCTCCTTCCCAGTTCACACACCATTCCTTCAATATATGGGTTACTCTTGGGAGCTTTCAAGTGTACATAACAATGCATACTTTAATTCAAGCTAGACGTGTTCACTTGAATCGACTCAAAGCGTGTCTTTACATTCCACGGTTCATTTTCCCCCATTGATTCCTCACTCTCTCGGCACCCCACGCCCTCCGCCTTGTGCTCCAGGGACCTTAGCAGCAATCGCTTGACAGGGGCCATCCCTCCATCCATCAGCAGCTTGAGAAATCTTCGTGGCTTGTCAGTATTACTATGCATGCCATGCCCATGCCATGCCATGCCACACCACGCCACGCCATATCATGTCATGCCATACCACGCATATTTGTTCGGGGTACTCACCACCTGTGTAGGCATATCATCTCATGGGAAGAGACATAGCTGATCTTAAATACCCCTCCTCCTGACCACACTCATGCCTCAAAACTGGCGTCTCAATACCCCCTCTAGATGGGAGAAACCTAAGGAGAGACTCAAAACCGCGTCCTACTATCCCCGTCCCTCTACCCGGCAGAAACCTCGAGAAGAACGAGTTGGAAGGCGGCGTGCCGGAAAGCATATCCACACTCTCGAATCTGCTGTGGCTGTAAGACGCTGCCACGCACCCACCCTCACTCACTACTTGGCCAGACCTTCCCACCCTACCCAATATTTTGAAATCGCCTCTGTCTTCCCCTCAATCAGACCACGGTGTCATGTCTTTCTCTACTGCCATCGCCGCTGCTCTTTATCCGCCTGCTACTGAGCATGGCGTGCAGTGCGGTGCAGTGCAGTGCGTTGAAGCTCCGCCTCCCCCCGGTGGCTACATGCACATGTGCAGGGAGCTGAGCATGAACAAGCTCTCAGGGCCTGTTCCCTCCACAGTCAGCAAGCTCTCCAAGCTCTGGTCACTGTGAGTTGCTGTTTCCCACCCCGCTGTAAGGACAGCTTTCCTGTGTCATGTGCATTCCCTCACCAAGGTTCATCTTTCTCAATCCCCCCTGCATGCCATGCCTCCAAGCATCCATGCCGTTCATGCCTCCATGCTTCTTATGGCGATGTGATGTGTCGCGCATGGCAGCTGTCATTCATTGAGATCCATGGGCGTTGTGAACTCTTCAATCCCACGGCTTCTATCAATGAATTTGAATGCACACAACACACATGCTTGCTCTTGCAGACTGTATTATCTTTTCTGCTTTCGCCTTTTCTTTCCCTTCTGTTTTTTCGTTGCTTTCCCTTTGCGTACCCTTGGAATGCTGTACCTCTCACCCGCACAACACTCACTTGCATCTGTCCTGCAGTGCCACACTACACCGCAATCTATGCCAATCGAACCCCTCACGATTCACCCCTGATTCCAACTCTCTCAAGTCGAAGTTTAAACCGCACTTGGCACACCATCTTCCTTCCTATTGTCTACAGACGGATGCACAGCAACCATCTAGCGGGAACCATCCCTGCCACGATAGGCAGCCTCACCGCCCTACTGTACCTGTGAGCCTGCAACGACAACCTTCCCTGCTTCTCGCCGTACTGCAATCGCTTCATCTTTCTCTCGCACACCTTTTCTCCTGATCTTCTGGGTGTTTTTTAGAACTCTCAACAAGAACTCCTGTTCCCTCTACCTGCAAAACACCCATCGTGCCTAGTCCAACCAATGCAGGTGCTCCTGCTGTCCCACCCTCTCCAGTATTCCATCACAGATGACGTTCACTCACATGGCCACATCTTCTAGTTACATACCATCCATACGTCAAACCCCTTCGTGCTTCCGGCACTTGCCATCTCCTGGCGTGTTTGTCGCATGGTCCCTCCCTGATTCTCTCCGTCCCTCCCTATCCACGTTTGTTCCCCTCTCCACTGCTCCCGTTTCACGCGCATGGCATGCATGGCATCAGGTCACTGGCATACAACCAGCTGTATGGCACCTTACCCGCGTCACTCTCAAAGCTAACAGCTCTGAACAAATGGTACTTTCGAACGTTACTGCGCAACATATGTAATGATACAGTCTTCTCACTCCAACACCACCATCGAGAGACATGCATGGGAGCTTGTTTCGCATGGATGCAAGATGCCAGATGGGAGCACGCACATTGGTTTTTAACTCTTTACTGAGTCAAAGTGCTTGAGCCTCTTCTCCTCCTCCTCCTCCTCCTCCTCCTCCTCCTCCTCCTCCTCCTCCTCCTCCTCCTCCTCCTCCTCCTCCTCCTCCTCCTCCTCCTCCTCCTTCCCTTCCTCCTCCCCCCTCCCCCTCATAGCATTCACAGCCGTATGATCATATGCTTCTCAGATTCCTTTCGCATACCTGCTGCCTGTTTTTCTTACCCCCTCAACCCACCACCTCCCCCACTTCCCCTTCCTCTTCCCCTCCCCTTTCCAGTGATCTCTCACACAACTACCTCACAGGTCGCCTTACAAACACCACACAGTTCAGAATGGATCTTGCAAACAACTACCTATCCGGTGCTATCTCAGAGCCCACCTGCAGTCAGCACAACATCATCGCCAATTGCTTCACTCTCGACGATGCGTGTAGCTCTGACCTGCTGCAGAGGCCAGCAGCAGAGTGCGCAGCGTTTTGCGGGATCACCAATGCTTCGTCTGCATGTGAAGGCCATGGGACTTGCTATCCGGACGGGCCTAGCTTAGTGCCAACGTGCATGTGGTGTGGCTCGGGGCTTCTGCAGCTTCCAGGAAACACCTGCTTTTCCGCAGGTACATGCATATCTGCGCCCTTTGCTGAAGGAAAGCATGTGCGACCAAGGATTGATCCTGCACGCTCTGCTTACTCTTTTCTGTCGCATGGGCATCACAAGCAGAGTAACAGCACGTGCACTGGAACAAAACACCATCTCTCTGCTTCCCTCCTATTTCCCCACTGCCCCCTTTTCCATGCACATCCCTTCAGAGTGGGTCAACACCCTCCCTTTCACCAGCCCCATCCTCCCGCCCTTCACCATACTCATCAAGGGCACCAAGCGGGAAACAGCAGGCAAGTTCATGGCAAAGCCAGTCACCCTCTTCGCGTACCCTTCCAATCTGCCCCAATCCCTGGGATGCGGTGTGGAGCTAGCTTTTACTGTCAACTTCACCTTCTCCCTCGTTCCCCAGTCCGGCGCTGCCGGTTCAAACGGCTTTGCGTTTGTCATCGCAGCAAAGGCCAAAGTGGGGAGGGGCGACGGCGTGGGGTATGGCGGGGTGGGAGCGCGGAGCCTAGCCGTGGAGTTTGACACGTTTCAGAATGGTAACCACAGCGATGCGAGCAGGCAGCACGTGGGGTTGAACATCAACGGCCTGGATCGATCCTTGGTCTCTGAGGTGTCCCCATACACTCTCACGGATGGCAATGCGTACACGGCATGGGTGGACTATGAGCCTGGGGAGCCTGGGGATCCCGGCACCATGCGGGTGTTTCTAGCTGGCTCCATGACGAAGCCAGAGGAGCCGCTGCTGCAGGAGGAGCTGTCTCTGTGTGCGGTGCTGCAGGGTGGTGTGCGGCAGGGCGCGTTTTACTTTGGTTTTGTGGCGTCCACTACGGTGAAACCGTTCCAGCTGCATGGGATTGTGCGCTCTGCCGTGCAAACAGGTCAGGGCGTGTTGGGTGGGGTGATGGGGATGGGGGGATGGGGATGGGGATGGGGATGGGGATGGGGATGGGGATGGGGATGGGGATGGGTATGGGTATGGGGATGGGGATGGGGATGGGGATGGGGATGGGGATGGGGATGGGGATGGGTATGGGTATGGGGATGGGGATGGGTATGGGGATGGTGATGGGGATGGGGATGGGGATGGGGTTGGGGATGGGGATGGGGATGGGGATGGGGATGGGTATGGGTATGGGGATGGGGATGGGGATGGGGATGGGGATGGGGATGGGGATGGGGATGGGGATGGGGATGGGGATGGGGATGGGGATGGGGATGGGGATGGGTATGGGTATGGGTATGGGGATGGGGATGGGGATGGGGATGGGGATGGGGATGGGGATGGGGATGGGGATGGGGATGGGTATGGGTATGGGTATGGGTATGGGTATGGGGATGGGGATGGGGATGGGGATGGGGATGGGGATGGGGATGGGTATGGTGATGGGGATGGGGATGGGTATGGGGATGGGGATGGGGATGAGGATGGGTATGGGGATGGTGATGGGGATGGGGATGGGTATGGGGATGGGGATGGGGATGGGGATGGGGATGGGGATGGCGATGGGGATGGGGATGGGGATGGGTATGGGTATGGGGATGGGGATGGGTATGGGGATGGTGATGGGGATGGGGATGTGTATGGGGATGGTGATGGGGATGGTGATGGGGATGGGGATGGTGATGGGGATGGGGATGGGTATGGGGATGGTGATGGGGATGGGTATGGGGATGGGGATGGGGATGGGGATGGGGATGGGGATGGGGATGGGTATGGGTATGGGTATGGGGATGGGGATGGGGATGGGGATGGGGATGGGGATGGGGATGGGGATGGGGATGGGGATGGGTATGGGGATGGGGATGGTGATGAAGATGATGATGATGAGGATGGGGATCACTTTGTACGGTGAGAGCATCTAGAATACATGGGTGCTGGGTGGTGGTGCTGCAGTAGTGATGATGGCAATGGAAAGAATGCTTGACTGGCGGTAGCTGATTTGAGTGATCTTTCCTTGTCGTTGCCTGCTACTCATGGGGCTCTCTCCTTGTCTCAAGACCCGACCATGTGTCAATCATGTACTTGAAGCTGTTCTCTTTCGTTGTGCCGTGTGTGTGCTCTCACTCTCACTCTCACTCTCACTCCCAGGCGTTATTCCACTCAAGTCAGTCCGCATCAAACAGCAAGGTGAGCTCTCTCTGTCACGCAACAAGCAATCATGATATTGGCCAATCGGAACGAACATTAGAGTCACAAACCACCACCCACATGCGCCCCTCTCTCCTTTTTCCCCGTGCCCCTCCCCCCCCCTCTCACAGCCCGTGGCCTCGCACTCTCATTGGCCACATACGCGGCGCCTAGAGCCAGCCCCTTCCTGCGCTATGTGAGCACGGACTATGAGCTGGCGTCCAACAACCAGGACTCGTGGCGCATCCGTGACTTTCACACCTGGGACTCTGTGGACTTCCTCGGATGGTCCGTCAAGGACCAGGCCAACTGCAGTGAGTGGAACGAGGGCTGCAGGGCACATTGGAGCGCTTGTGGTTGGGATTTAGGAACTCTTTTTGGTTCAAGTTTTCTGGACACTGGTGCATGTGCACGCGTCACAGAAAGTGCACGGTTCTTCCCCAACCCCCGCATCACATCCTCCACCCATCTGGATCTTGTTCTTTTTGCTTGAGCCCAGACTACACAACTGCTGCTCTCTGAGAATCCTGACTGAACATCGCATCACATGCCCCACCCATGTGCATCTTGTTCTTTTCCTTCTTCTGCTTCTCCTCAGATGCATGCTGGGCATACGCAGTGGTGGCGAGCATAGAAGCAGCGTACGGCATTGCAAGGCATCAGAGTGCGCCCCAGCTATCAATGGAGCCGCTGTTTGCAGCCATGGGGCTGGCTGGTGCAGACAAGTGCTCCTCTGGAGGATCCCCGACCGAGGCTTTTGAGAACTCTTGATGCTGGGAGTGGGCTCACTGGGGTCAGTGAATCGGTAAGTCAAGCAGGGTTTCGGGTTTGGGATGTGTGGTAAATGAGGTGAGAGTGAGGTGAGGTAGTGGCATGAGCGTGTATGCTAAAGAATGTGAGGTGGATGGTAGTGTATGCTAAAACATTTGAGAAAGGTGAATGCCATTCCTTCACTTTTCTGCCTTGAATAAGTTCGGATTGATGTGTTGTTGAACCTTGAAGCACCTTATGAAACCCGCTAGGCAGCTTCAGAATGATGAGTAAATACTTTCTATCATGCATGCATTTGATCGACACGCACGCAGTTCAAGGGGCATCTGGTGCTCACGCTGACAGTGCGTTTCTCACTATATTCCTCTCCCAACAATCTCTGTGTGCTCTGATATGATCTGATCTGCAGGCAACAATGTACCCCATTCAAGGCTTTGAGCGCACATCATTCAAGGGGTATGTGGGGCTCATGCTGGCAGTGCGGCGGCAGCCAGTGGTGGTTCACATCGAAGCCTCTGCTGCCACGTTTGTCGCCTACGATGGGGTGAGTGGTTCTTGCAACTCTCAGTTGCAAACTGACATCTGTTCATTCATATGTCTTCATTGCAATCCTTCGTGCTGTAACTTGGTCTTCTTCAACTTTAACGCAATGCCAGCTTAGGTAACTATGCCTTTGCTTGCATGCATCTCTACCCCCATTTTGGCTTCAGACGTTCAAGTACCAGGATCCTGAGTGCTACACTGGCAATCTGAACCACGTTGTACTCGTTGTAGGGTACTTCATTAATAGAAACGACGGCAGCCAGAGCCGCATTGCCCCGCCGTTTTGGATCATCCGCAACTCGTGGGGAGAGGAGTGGGGAGTCAGGGGCCACATGCGCATGGACATTCAGGGAGGGGATGGCGTGTGTGGTATCAACGTGCTGCCTGGCATCTACCCCGTTGTCAAGAGTGAGGCATTTACTCACCATTGTCAAGAATAAGACAATTATTCCACCTTTGGGCCTCTTTTTGTCTGCCGATGGCAAGTTTGCCAGGCACATACACACGGTCTGGTACTTCAGATTCCCACTACCCAACCACTAGGGTAACGTGAGTTGCACATACCATTCCCGTTCCCCTTGTGCTACGATCTCGCAGCTCCCATGTTAATGCGTCTCGCTCGAATCACATTGCGTGTCTGTAACTGCCCTGCCCCACCCCAGTTCCGGGGGACCCCTGCGGCAATAGCAGCTACAAGGGCGACCAGGATCTCTCCGGCATGAACCCGTGCGGTCGGTTCCGGTGCAATGCGGTTGATGACAGCAGCTATACGTGCAGCTGCACAATAGAAGGAGCTGCTCGGCAGCCTTTTGTAGAGGCTGACAACGGGGATGGCTCCAGCACATGTGCCTATGGTAAGGTAGAGGTGGCTCTACTGGGTACTGACTTGTTAGGTTGCAACAGCACAGCAGCACAGCACATGCTGTGGCTGCAGCACCGGCAGGTTCAGTTCAGTTTAGTCAGAGTGAGAAGGAGCGGAGGTGTTAAGGGGAGCGAGGGAGCATTGGAACCCCACATTGTCTTGTACTCACATGCCCTCTGTTCTCACGCCTCATGCGTTCATTTGTGTCCCCATCTTTGTGTTTCCTTACTCTTCTCCCTCTATGTCCCATCCCTGTGCTATCAATCTATCACAACCCCAATGCCATTGCATCAGTGGACGTGTGTGGGTCATACTTCAAGAACCCCTGCTACGTCGGTACATGCATCAACGACGGCAGAGGCTCCTACTCCTGCATCTGCCCTCTCAACTACGTGGAAAGCACAACTGTCTATGACACCCCCACCTGCGACCCAGGTGAAACGTTACTCTCGTGTTCGGATGTCTGCGTTTCTCCTCTTCTCAACCTCCTTTTTTTTTCATCCCAAGTCTGTTCTGTATGTCATACAGCAATTTGTGAGATGGAGTTGGTGTCGCTTGAATCAGCTCAATCGCCAAACTTGCCCCCCTTTTCTGACACCTCTGTCTCCTTTACTACGTGCTTTTCAGTCAACACCACAGCCTCCAGCATGGCAGTCAGTGGAGACAACTGGTTGTGCTCAGATGTTTACCCGCTTGTCGGCATCTCACTGGCTGATTTCACACTCCAGAATGAGGTAAGGGCTGGGTAAACGAATGGGACTAGTGGGCTTGCCACTATTCGATTCGATGTTGTTTTTACTTCGGTCCGAAGTGGGCTCTTACACATCACCACACTTTCATCAATCTCCCATGCTTTACTACTCCATGTCTGAGACACTTCACTTGGTCTCAGAAATTCTTGTTACTCCATGTTGTGTTCGTATTGCATTGGTATTTTGTACTAAGGTTTCTAAACCTCACGCCCATGCAAGATTCGATTAAAAAACCTCGCATTCACCCTGCCCCTTTTCACCGCATGTGTTTACATACAACAACTGCAGGCTGTGGACTGCAGCGGGCCCTTGCCCAGGGGCACGGTCCTTCAACTGAGTGGCACGCCCGCCACACCCTGCACTACCTTCTTCTACTCCCTCCATGTGAGACACCATGCCCGACACCATGCCCTTTGCTCTGGAATGCATCTGGAATGCATCTGGAATGCATCAAACTATCAGGCACCTCAAAAACCTTCGTAGTCCTTCCATGTGAGATGTGAGATGCCATGCCATGCCCTTGGGATTGCACCAGCCATGTCTTGGACACCAGGGCAGGTTGTCGTAACTCGTCTTCATCCCACCCTCAACTCATTGCCACGCGGCATTCTCAATACCCAGTGCGCTACGTAGTAGTAACGAGCACATGCACCCTGCCTCTCTGTTCGCCACCATGTTCAACCATGCACACACCATGTCCTACAGGGGGACCTCTGTTCCACCATCGCCGATCAGGCCAGCTTAGATGAACTTTCTCTTCCTGCGCTCAACCCCGGGCTTGACTGCTCCGAGCCCATCAAGGCGGGCAGTTCGGTGTGCATTGAGCGTAACCCCGCTTTTGCCTTCACCGTCCCCGAGTGTGTGAAACACGGGATGCTCACGCCGCAAGACACGTGCGAACGGCTGCTTCAGAGGACCGTCAACGAGCCTAACCTGAGTGCAGACCACTGGGCTGAGCTCTACCGCAACAATCCCGGCCTCACTTGCTCTGACAGCATCCCTGCCTCTGCCTCTGTTGTTGGCAGCAAGATCGGCGTGCAGGTAAGGTCTTGTGAGGGGGGAGAGGAGAGGAGAGGGATGTGAGAGGGGAGGGAAACGGAAGGGAACAGCCAATGTGGACAAGGCTGGTTGGTTGTGCTCTGTCTGCTGTCAGTGCCCACCTGGGGGAGGGCACGGTACACTCTTCTTGCCGCCTCGCCATGATTTGTTTAATTTGCTTGCCGCCTCGCCATGATTTGTTTAATCTTTGCTTCTGGTCAGGCCTTGCCATGTTTGTGTTTCTCCGACTTCCTAATTGTTTCATGCACTTGTTGCATGTGGACCTTGGCATCTTGCTATCCAGGTTTGTCTAAGGGCAGATTATTGGTCTTTCAAATTGGGCTTCTGCAAGAAGGGGAGAGTCAAGCCAGTCTCACCATCAATGGCATGTTCAGCTGCTTACCGCTTCTACGGTGGAGCTACAAGCACAGCTATTTCAAAGTTCTATGAGTATAATGCTCGGTCCTGCTCTGGAACTGTAGGAGAGAAATATATTTGTGTGCCAGCATCATACTAATATTCGACATTTCTAAAGTGGTATGTGAATATCATACTTGTACATACACCTTCGAATCCTCCACTGCTGAGTGTTCATTACCAACAAATTCAGAGCGTGATCCTACACCTCGTATCAGACACAACTCGTATCAGCTTCGCGTGGTGAAATACGTTTCAGTGTGTTCGACTGCGGTTGGATGCGTTTTAGTGCGGTTCGACGCGAATCTGATACGAGGTTGCCTGATATGAGGCTGTAGGAAGACGCTCTTAGAGTCCAATGAATATCACGGCATGGTGAAACACATTCAACAATTCTGTTGAAGCACTGATACAGGGGTATGTACCGTATGGGGGTGGACCACCATTTGTTACCCAAATGGAAGAATTAGTGAGCTGTTTTGAGACCATTTCAAAGTTGAGACTGTTTTCTATGTGTTTCACGAATTAGGATCTACAAGGTTTTGAAATGGGAGTGTTTCATAGAAATAAATTCATAGGCATTCTGGTCAAGGAAGTTCTTATACGGAAAGGTCAGCACCTGGTGACTGTACTGTGCCGGTAAAGAAAATTCTGACACACATTCTTGGGACTGCCGCAAGCCAATCCCAAGACAGAACACAAGGACAAGAGCGGATCTGATAAAAGTTGTGCTGCCGCGCCGAACGGATCAGCGGACAAGGCTATGCGGCCGATAGTATGCGCGCGCGCCTCTCCTTTCGTATGTTTCAAGTCAAGCACTGGTGCTGCCACCACCAGCACCCCTCCGTGCGGGTGTGAGATTTTCATTGTTGTCCCAGTAGCACCACCTTCGCGTTGGTTAGAGTACTTCCGTTCACTCAAAGAACGTCGTTGAGGCATGCCCGTGGCGACAGCAGCCACTGGGAACAAGAATAGCTTCAGCCGCAGCATCTACACATTACTTTATCACGGTTGGATCTACATATTGTCGAATCTCAATATGGATCGAGGAAGGTTAAGCGCGAAGCGCCTGCTTCTTATATCCGTGCTCCTCCCTGCGCTCTTTCTCTCCTACTCCGTGTTTACGCCGTCACCAATCATTGAGTCGAACGCGGACCCCCAGCCAGTAGTGTCCCCGGGCTCGCGGAAACTTCACATCGCTTCGGACGACGGGGATTCGTCGGATGGATTAGCCGAGAAAGCTACAAAGGAAGATTCCGCTGTAATATTGACCGAGGTGGAGGCAAGTCCGAGCACGGATTCAGAAGGAGATGGAAAGAAGACACCTGCAAAAGGCGAAAGCAACGCAGAAGGTTCAAAGAAAAAAAAGGATGCTGGGAAGAGCAAGCATGGTTCAAAGGACCAATCAGATTCTTCTGGAGTCGCAGCTGCGGAGAAAGCGTCTAAGGGCGAAACGGCAGTGTCTGTGCCAGAAAGCGTCTATCTCCTACGACCCAAAGTTTCAGGTGATCAAATCGCAGTCAGCGTTAGGAGGTCAATAGACTTAGCTCTGGCGGCAGTAGTGTGGGAGCTTTTGAGAAGCAGGTAGAGAGCATCGCCGTGTGTACCGTGCTCTGTAAACGCTTCTTTTTGGTGAATCTACCTATTTTCATTAGTGAATCCAGGTTGGGGTCTACTGATGCTCTAGAGTTAAGCTCCCTGCTACCATCTCGCTCACTTTATCCTCTCCCTTCCCCTCCCTTCCCCTGATTCCCCTCCTCGATCCGATTCTCTTTCCTCCCCTCGTCCTCCTGACCAGATTGGGACGCAAAGCGAGCAGCACACATAGCGGCGAACCCGGGGTGCAACCGAACGTCAAAGGGCAAGCCACGGGTGATGATGGTGACAGGGTCCAACAACAAGCCGTGCGGGGAGCACGGCGAGAGTGACTTTCTGCTGCTCAAATTCCTCAAGAATAAGCAGGACTATGCACGAATCCACGACCTCCAGATCTTTTATGGCATGGGTCCCATGAACAAGAATTTCCCCGCGTTCTGGGTCAAGATTCCTCTGCTGCGCATGCTCATGCTCAAGTACCCGGAGGTGGAGTGGTTCTTCTGGATTGATTCAGACGCCATGATCACAGGTACGTGTGGTTCATTCATGTTATGCGCTTTCTCCTTTGCACGCTTACTAGCTCCATCTGGGTATGCATTTGTGTTTTGTTACATTTTTCCATTTTACTCACCGCCGGTTTGTTCTTTTGCAGACATGGCTTTTGAGTACCCAATAGAGGAACACTCGTCTGCCACCGTCGTCCTATCTGGCTTCCCGGATTCCCTCTTCAAGAAAAAGGACTGGTATGTGTGGATCTAGCACAGGTTTCCTCATAAGTATATATGTCCAGTGTCGCATATTCTGTCAATGGCCTATGCTTATTGCGCTGTTCACTCCCTTGTGTTTTGCTTAACCCTGTGCACGTTTGTCTCTATCTTACCAATTTGCAGGGTGGCCATTAACACTGGAGCTTTCTTTATCAGAAACAGCCAGGTAAGTTTTCAATTCAAACATGCTGATGTGGAAGTCTCATTATTTTTAGCATTTGTTTCTATGTTCATTGAAGTTCATCACACTGATGCGCTTCTCATCAACTATTCCTGCTTGATAACAGGCACTATGTACTAGCACTATCGATGACCCGTTCATGTTTGTTCAACAACAATCAACTATTATTTTTCCAATCAAACGTGCACTGTTGATCAACCGTCTTGCTGTTTCCTCACCATACCTCACACCACCCTCTCAACCCACTCTCATGTTTTCTCATCACCCTACACTGCATCTATGCATTGATGTATGGACATGGCACATGGTACATGTCAGTGGTCTGTCACGTGGTACGTGGCACATAACACACAACACACGTCACATGTCGCATGGGACATGACACGTCACACATGTCACATAACACTCATCATGCTGGCAGGATGGGTTGGACTTCTTGGATGACTGGTCAACGTTTGGCAGCAGTGAGGCAGTGCGCTCGCAATGGGGCACTGTTGCCAGCAAAACGTTGCATGTAAGCCCCACAGGGAGCCACGCGTCAACCTTTGGACTTTGAAGTACTTGGCCGTGTCACAGGTTGAATGTGACACAATGGAAGCGCGTATGGCCCTGGTCTGCCCTTGCAATTGATATTGTGCTAAACTTACTGTTGCTTCTAGTGTTTGTTTGTTTGTTCTGGTTTCCTTGCGAATGGTGTGTTGGCAGGGTCGTGCTGATTGGCCAGTGGATGATCAGACGGCTCTGGTCCTGCTGCTGCTGGGGGAGGGGGAGACCCCTGAAAACAAGAAGAAGGGTGTGACGCTTCGCAAGGACAAATGGCTTCCGCGTATTGAGATCGATTGGCGGACAACCTTGCATGGTTACTGGGTGTCCTTTGTTGACAAGTAAGACTGGCAACAAGTTTCGCTTGTTTCTTCGTTTTCTTTGCGTGCTAAGTAAATTGCATTCATTCTTCCCGTATTCCTCCCATTTTGTGCATCCTATGGTGGTCGTGCTTACATGAATGACAGGCTGGAGGAGATTCAAAGTACGAAGCACAACGGACAGGGTAATTGGGAGTGGCCGTTCACAGTGCATTTTGTTGGATGCAAGCTATGCACAAGGGAGGCATCAGACTACGACCCCGTCGTTTGCAACAAAGGCATCCATCGGTAAGTTGTGATTTCCAAAGTTTAGATTGTTCACGCATCTCGAACTCCTGTTTTATCCCTCGGCGTTTGCAATGTATGTGATTCTCACTCTGAAATTGTGTATTTTTGCAGGGCCTTTGCGTTTGCTGAAAATCAAGTTTTGAGTGAGTTTGGTCTGCATCATGCAAATCTGAGTGAGCCAACGATCTCCCTTATTCAAGGAGAGTGACCCGTGCAGCAACACGCCAATGCATTTCTATGTTGTGTGGAAAGTTTCTTTAGAATGTTTGCTGTTTGTGAGATGTAGTTATTGTGCATGAAAGTTTTAGTATGCGTGTGCGGTGTAGTTGGAAATATCCCACTTCAACCGTGCACTGCAGCGAATCAATTGTATATCCGCGTGTGATGCGGGCTGGTGCACCAATTTGAACAAATCGTATATATTTGTACCACCACGGACCGACCACCAACGACCTTCTTTTCCCTTCCCCTTCCCATCCGTACCACCATCATTCCCTCATTTGCTAACGGCCTGGCAACACATTGGCCCGAGCAGGTGCCACCCACATCCACTCAAGCGATCGGCTTCCGTAGCTCCTCGGTCCAAATCCGCGTCGCTCCGTGTCCATTCTCTCGCCGTATTGCAGCTTGCAAGGTCTCGGCAACCGCCGCTGTCTCCCATTGAGTTGACCAAGAAGTGTTCTTGCCGGATCATTGCAAGGCCACCAAATCACCTGACGGCACGGCGGCACGCAGCGTTCGTCGTCATTCCTTCTGCTCCTCCTCCTCGTCCTCCTGATCCCAACCTCTCTCGGTCTCCGCTAATGTGATTGTTTCAAACGCGCGCCGGGCTCGCACGTTTCAACACTCGTCTCCGCCAATGGGGTCGTTGGAGCTTCCAACGCGCGCGCTCGGCGCGCAGCGGCCAGGCACGAATGCAAAGCTGGCTCTTTTCACCCCCGCCAATTACCACGTGCCACGTAGCAAAACACCGCCGGCTGGCGGCGGATCCGCGCCCGGCGGCCTCTCTTATTTCCTCCCGCATAGCCTCGTGTTCCGCGCGATCGCCGCTGTGCTGCTCGTCATCCTCGCCGGCTCCCTGGAGCTTCTCCTGCTTAATTTCTTCCAATCCCGTGCTGCCACGTCACCGCTCAAAGCTCTGTTTCCCCAGCGACCAGCTCCCCCCGCCCCGCCGATCTCCGCCTCCCCCGCCGCCCCGCAGCTTGCGCGCGCCGCAGGCGGCGGCGGCGGCGGCGGCTTCCCCTTCGCCACCTGGACAATGATCCCGCGAATTGTGCCCCTGGTGTCGCCGACTTTCGAACCGCCGCCACTGGCGCCGGTCTGGGCGGGATCTAAATGCAGCGACGAGTGCCACAATCGAGGCAGCTGTAACGAGGAAATCGGTGCATGCCGGTGCATGCCCGGATATGGGGGTGAACACTGCTCAGAACTGGTCATGCCTGGGTGCACGAAGATTCCAGGAAATGAGGACGCAGGAGATGTGGGGAACAGTAGTGTGGTGGCCCTATCGCCGTGTTTCCTCCACTCCTCCTGCACCTGCCTCCTAGACTGCGACAGACACCACCTACCACACCCTGCCACGTGTCTCGACCTCAGCGCCACGCCGCCCCTCGCCGCAAATGCTGACTCAGCACCGGTAACAGCAGCAGGAGCGGGGGGAGGGATAGCGAGATGGGAGTGGTACCGGGTGACTGCGAGCGGCTCCGGGGAGGAGACGGGGAGGGAGAGGGCGGGGGAGGGGCAGCTGGAGGGAGGGGAGCACCTGAGACCACCTGGCGATTGCCCTGAGCGGTGCTCTGGTGTCGGCACCTGCTACTCTGATGGCTGCAGGTATGTACATACCTACCATCAGGGGCCTTTCCTTTCATCCACACTGCTTCTTGTGTCTTCCTCGTGACCTGTGACCCCTACTGCTCTGGTTTCGCCACCTGCTACCTGCACCGCCCCTCCCACAAGCCTCACAGCTCGAGCCAGTAATCACTTCTCCCTAACCTCCCCACCTCTCTCCCTCCCGCTCCCCGTCCCCTCTCTCCTTCTCCCCGCCTGCCCCCCTGTTCCCCATGCAGGTGCCCCTGGTCCCGCACAGGGAAGGCGTGTGAGGCGGTGGCGAAGGGCGTGGGGTGTGTGAACGCGTGCAGTGGGCGGGGCGAGTGCGTGGAGGGCACGTGCCGCTGCCAGTACTGGACGTTCGGAGTTGACTGCTCGCTGTTTCTCGACACCATGGGCAGTGTCAGGCACGTGTGCTGCGGGTGCTGCGGGTGCTAGTGCTGTGCTGAGTCTGCTTCAAATCACATGTAGACTGCAAATAGACCAGCAGTTCTAGTGTTGCTGCTGCTGCTGCTGCTGCTGCTGCTGCTCCTGTGCTCGATGTTGTTCCCCCTGGGACTCATTCTACATCATGTTCCCCCTTCTCCCTCCCCTTCCTTCTCCCCTTCCCATCGTCTCCCCCCCCCAGGAACCTCCTCTTCCCCCCGTTCCGCTGGGCGCACCACATCCCTCCCCCTTCCCTCGCGCTCATAGCCGCCTCCCGTCCGCTCATCTACGTCTACGACCTGCCCTCGCCCTCCACCACCTGGCCCCTGCGCCTCTCCTCTCGCTCCCCTCACTCCGAGCCTCTGCTCTTCCTGGAGCGCCTGCTCAACAGCGGGCACCGCTCTGCAACCCCTGATACCGCGGACTTGTTCTACGTGCCGCTCTTCTTCCGGTGGGTGCGCGTGTATCCCCTCGCATCCCTTGCTTGCCGTGCCTTTCCTTGACTGACCTTGTCCGCCCTTTGCTCCCCCTGCCCCTCTTTTGCTAACCCTGCCTTGCCTTTCTGTTCCTGGGTTGGCCGTGGCCTTGCTGCCTGCCGCTGATTCTCCCTCCGGTTTCTCCATCCACCCACCCTGTCACAGTCTCGTCCCATGCACCTTGTACGCTTGAGGCTCTGCTGTGTGTGAGCCTGTCTCCCTCTGCCTCCTTGCTTGTCCACTGCTCGCCTCCCTTACACCCCAAACCCTAAACCACCTCCCGCTCCCTTTCTCCCACACCCCTCCCTCCCAACCCAACCCCACCCCACCTCCTCACCCACCACAGCAATGACAAAGCACTCGATGCCAACCTGTTAGCATCCACAGTTGACTACATCCGAACCACATGGCCCTACTGGGACCGCCGCAACGGCTCAGACCACATCTTCCTCCTCCCGCCGCCCCTCTCTCGCTGCACACTGGAAGATTCCGGTTCCACCGAACCCTTCCTTTCACGCAGTATCGTACTCTCCACGTGCGGTTACACCCGCTCGCCCGCTCCCCCCTCGTCCCGCAATCAAGAGGAGACCCCGGTTCCAGCATCGTCGGGGTCAGCGCCGCTGCCGCTGCTGCCGTGCTTTCAGCGGGGGCGGGATGTGGTTATACCACCTGTGCTGCAGTTCAAGGATTATCATGCAATTCCGTTCTTCTCGGAATTACTGAGAGAGGAATCTAGTGCGGCCAGTGTCTCCCCTGCAGACCCCACCACCACTGCTAGCAGCAGCAGCGCCGGGAGTCTCTCTGTTTCGCCTCCTCGCCCGACAGTGCTTTTTGCGCGCTTTGCTGCTTCAGACCCGCAGCAGAATCACACGGGTCTGGGTTCCTCTGTGAGGCAACGCTTTCTGGAGCTCTTTGAATCGCGAGCAGCGGAGCTCAAGTGGCAAATAGAGGTGCGGGAATCAGCCAAGGTGCGGGTACCCGACCTGCTCAACGCAACCTTCTGCCTCTCCACGGCCGCTCAGGGGGGGCATTCGCCATCTGTAGCGAGCGTGCTAGCCGGGTGCATCCCTGTGGTGGTCGAATCCCACACTCTCCTCCCCCTCGACCACCCCCACGGGCTCAACTGGACGGCTTTCTCCCTTCACATCCCTCTCGCAAAACTCCCGGATCTCCCGGCTCTGCTCTCCTCCCTCTCCCCGCAAGCTGTTGCAGCGATGCAGCAGGGGTTGCGCGGGGCATGGGCGAAGCTGGTGTGGGCGAGCTCTCAGTTCAACCCGTTGCCCCGGGGTCTGGCTGTGTCCCGGGCGTTTCACAGAGCGGCGCTGATGCTGGCTGAAGGCGATGTGTTTAGCTCTGTGATGCACGTTCTGCGAGGACGGATGGAGGGGGTAGGGGGAGAGGAGAGGGGAGAGGATGGGGGAGAGGAGGCGGGAGAGGAGGGAGGAGAGGAGTGGGGAGAGGAGGAGGGAGAGGAAGGGGAAGAGGAGGGGGAAGAGGAGGGGGAAGAGGAGGAGGCAGGAGGGGGGGAAGTTGCAGAAGGGATGAAGGGGGATGAGGAAGGAGGTGTTGCAGAGAAGGAGAGGGCCGAACAACAACCTGATCCTGATGCTGCTTCTGCTGGTGCTGATGGTGTTGCTGACGATGTTTCTGGTGCTGCTGATGATGTTAATAGTGCTGCTGCTGATGATGGTGATGCTGCTGATGATGGTGCTGCTGTTGCTGCTGATGGTGCTGATGATGCTGATGATGCTGCTGGTGCTGATGGTTCTGTTGCTGCTGCTGATGGTGCCACTGATGCTGCTGATGGTGCTGATTCTGTTGATGATGCTGATGGTGCTGCTGCTGCTGCTGCTGCTGATGGTGCTAGTCCTTTAGAACCCCCCCCAGACTCAGACCCTCTTCCCCCTCTTGGCTTCACTCCAGACGGGGCAGTTGAGGCAACTCACAGCACAGAGACCAATCAAGAGCGCCAGGCGCGCATACAAGCAGCGCAGGCATACGACGGGCCAGGCCCGGACCTCTCCCGCCCATCAAAATGCCCCGAAGAATGCACCGCATTCGGCACGTGCAACGAGGAGCTAGGCCGCTGTGACTGCCCCCCTGGATTCACCGGGCCCACATGCCAAACCGTCGCCATGCCGGAATGCCACTTGGGGGGGGAGAGCAAGAGCTCAGGGGCTGCAATCTCATACGTTACCCCTTGTTCGGTTATCAGCACTTGTGCCTGCGCTGCTGCCTGTGCGCGATGGCGTTTGCTGGGGTACTTTGAGTGCTTTGAGGGGAATCGGCCGGATGGAACCCCTGAGACAAACCTCTCGGTGGTATTCTCTGGGACGCGATATGCTGTTGCGCTGGATGCGCAATTTTGGGATGTGGGGGCGGGGGTGGGGAAGGGTGGGAAGGGGCGGAGAGCGGTGGTGAGCGATGAGCCGAGCCCGTGGGCTGGTCCGGAGGAGTGTGAGAGCATGTGCTCGGGACGGGGGGTGTGTCGGAAGGAGTCCAAGGTGTGCGAGTGAGTGTGGTGCGGTGAGGAGGTGTGCGGGGTGAGGGGGTGTGTGGAGTGAGGGGATGTGTGGGTGGGGTGAGGAGGTGTGGGTGGGGTGAGGAGGGGTGTGGGGTGGGGGGGTGTGGGGCGAGGGTGTGTGTGGGGCATGCACATGCACATGCCCATGCTCATGCCCATGCGATGCCCCCTTTGCTTGAACAGCTATTACCCTTACTCTCCTCCAGTTCCACCGTCCCTACTCCCACCCTTTCTCCCCCCGATCCATTTGATGCTGGCTTCATTGACTCTTGACACGTCAATCCCATCTTAGCACTTTAGCCCCTACTCGCGTTCCCCATCCCCCTGTTCTCCCATCCATATGCAGCTGTGCGTGGTACGACAACGGGCGCGCGTGTGAGACGCGGGGGGACCTCCCCTTTGACTGCTTCAACGCCTGCAGCGGGCGGGGCGAGTGCAGGCGCGGGGTGTGTGTGTGCCAGCGGGGGTACTTCGGCCTTGACTGCTCTATGTTCATCGACGCTCAAGGGATCACCAGGTATTGGCTGCGAGTAAGGGAGTTGTGGGGGAAAGAGAGCTAGTAACAGCTGCAATTATGGGGTATGTGCAGCCACGCTATGTGTGTACTTGAGGGGCGAGTGCAGGCGTGTGTGTGTGCCACCGGGGGTTCTTCGGCCTCGACTGCTCTATGTTCATCGACGCTCAAGGGACCACCAGGTGCTGCCAGGGAGTAGGAGGGGGGCGGGTGGGGGCGAGAATGAAAGCCAAAGTTGCACGAGCGTGGTGTGTGCAATTACGGGGTGTGTGCCGGCCGGACTGCTCCATGTTCATGGACGCGCAAGGGAACATGACGTAGTGTAGAACAAACGGCAGTTCCTCACTTCCTTGACCACTCAGCGCCCCCAGCAAAAAATCTTGCCCCCTCTTCCGTTCCTCCGCCCTTCTATCACTCTCTCCTCCTCCTCCTCCCACTCTCCCCACTCCCCCCACTCCCCGCTCTCCTCCCCCCACTCCCCACTCCTCGTTCCCCACTTCCTCTCCACCCATCCGTCACTCTCCCACTCTCCTCCCACTCCCCTCTCCGCCCTCTCCCCACACAACCCACCACCAGGATACTGCGCTTGCAGCCCTTCCTTTGGTCCACAGCCGTACCACCCCCTTCTCCCTCCCCCTCCTCCTCCTCGCCCCTCCGCCCGCTCATCTACGTATACGACCTCCCCCCGCACTTCAACACGTGGCAGTTCGCCCAAACGCGCTACATCGACTGGCGAGAGCAAGTCTTCTTCCTAGAGCGCCTCTTGCGCTCCCCCCACCGCACCCCACACCCTGCCCAAGCCCATTTCTTCTACGTCCCGCTGATGTTCCGCGCTCGGCTGATGAAGGCAAACACTCTGGCGTGGGCTGTGTCCTATCTGCGCTCCACGTGGCCGTTTTGGGACCGGAGCAACGGGTCCGACCACGTGTTTGTGACGAACGACGACTGGGGGAACTGCGACATTTCTGTGGCCGGGGAGAGGGATCCTTTTCTCGCTCACAGCATCACGCTCACTCTCTGGGGGCTCACGCAGAATATGAACCTGGAAGATGCGCCGAACAGGTGCTTTAAGCCGGGGCAGGATGTGGCTATCCCGCCTATGATGATCCCTGACGTGTTCCAGTATGTGGTTGGGGTGAAAGAGATGGTAAGAAGGGAAATGAGGAGGCGGAGCAGGAAGAAGGGGAAGGGGGGGGAGGGGGTGGAAGAAGGATCGGCAGAAGAAACGGGAAAGGGAACAGAAAAAGGAGTGCAAGAGGAAGCAGAGGAAGAGAAGAAGTCGCTAGAAGCCGTGCTTTCAGGGGCCAACCGTACCACCCTCCTTTACTTCAAAGGCTGGCCCGCACACAAAGCAGCCCCGCACGGCCCATACCAGTGGAGCTTCGGCGTGCGGCAAGAGGCATTCAAGCTGTTCGGAGGGCGGTTCAACGAGACGGGAGTGCTTATGGAGAGCACGGAAGGGTTTGTGCAGGGGTTTCTGGTGGAGATGCAGCGGGCGGTGTTCTGCCTGGCGCCGTCTGGGTGGGGGTGGGCTATGAGGACCACACAGGCGCTCATGCTTGGGTGTATCCCGGTGATTATCCAGGTGCGTGCATGGGATAGTAGGTATTCTGTGCTGTGCTGCATGTATGCCGAGTGGACTGAAAGGGCACCTTCCCCTGTCTGGCGGCCTCAGGTTAGGGACGGAAGTGGGCTGTGAGGAGGACACAAGCGATCATGCTGGAGTGAGGTTTATCTTGTGGTGCCTTGTGTGCCTGGGATAGTAGGTATTCTCATGCTCATCTCCCCTCCACCTTATACGCCACTTACACACTCACACACGCGCACACACACCCCCTACTCACCTCTCCATTTCCTCTCCCCCGCCCATCTCCCTTTCTTCCCTCTTTTTTCCCCCCCAGCCGCACGTGGTTCAGCCGTTTGAGGGCGACGGCACGGACTGGTCCCGTCTCGCTGTGCTCCTCACAAAGGCCGACATTCCCCACCTCCCCCGCATCCTCTCCTCCATCCCCGACTCTGAACGCCGCGCAAAGCGCCAAGCCATGCTGGACGAGTGGGTCAAGTTCGTGTGGGCCAGCACCCAGCTGAACCCCTTTGGATTCCTGCCGAGGGGGTTACAGGATGAGATGGCAGTGCGGTTGGCGAAAGGAGATGTGTTTGCCACGGTGATGGGTGCGCTGAGGAGGAGGGTTGAGGGGAAGGGAGGCGGCGGGGGAGAGGATACTGGTTTGAATGCAGCAGCAGCAGGAGCAGGAGCAGAAGTAGCAGGGTCAGCAGAATCAGGAGGAGCAGCAGCAGGGGCAGCAGCAGGAGCGAAGTTGGAGCAGCAGCAGCGGCAGCAGCAGCGGTCGGAGTCGTCAGCATCATTAGCAGCAAGCAGTGTATCGGGTGGTGCGTGTAACGAGGCGTGCTACACGCACGGCACATGCAACGAGGAGCTCAAACGCTGCGACTGCCCCCCGGGCCTCACAGGGGAGGATTGCTCCGACCTTGCCATGCCGTCCTGCCACGTGGCACCTGGGTATTGGACGCCGTGTGGGGTTCTGTCGTCGTGTGAGTGTGCGCTGGAGTGTGAGAGGGCGGGCGTCCCTCCCTTTCCTCTGTGCCTAGATGAGAGTGAAGGGGGGAAGGGAGGGGGAGAAGAGGGAGGGGGGCAGGATGGTGCAGATGGGGAGGTGGGAAGAGGAGAGGGAGAGGGAGAGGGAGAAGGAGGTGCAGTTGGAGCAGAGGCGAAGGAGGAAGGGAGTCAAGGAGAGGAGGAAGCAGACGACCCTGCTTTGAGCCAACCTGCGTGGCAGCGGGCTGGGTGGCAGGGCTTGTCCTCTCTGCTGAAGAAACCCGTGGTGCGGATGGCGACGGACGGCGCGGGCGGTGAGACAGGAGCGCGTGAGAGAGTGGGAGAGGGAGTGAGAGGGCAGCAGAGCAACGGTGCTGGTGCTGCTACTGCGTCCAGCCCTCTCCCTCTCTTGCACTCGCTGCTGCTACCTTCTGAATGCCCCGGAAACTGCTCTGGGTTGGGCGTGTGCCTCGCGAGCAAGCAGTGCATGTGAGTGGGTGCAACGAGGGGTATGTGGGTGCAACGAGGGGTATGTGGGTGCAACGAGGGGTATGTGGGTGCAACGAGGGGTATGTGGGTGCAACGAGGGGTATGTGGGTGCAACGAGGGGTATGTGGGTGCAACGAGGGGTATGTGGGTGCAACGAGGGGTATGTGGGTGCAACGAGGGGTATGTGGGTGCAACGAGGGGTATGTGGGTGCAACGAGGGGTATGTGGGTGCAACGAGGGGTATGTGGGTGCAACGAGGGGTATGTGGGTGCAACGAGGGGTATGTGGGTGCAACGAGGGGTATGTGGGTGCAACGAGGGGTATGTGGGTGCAACGAGGGGTATGTGGGTGCAACGAGGGGTATGTGGGTGCAACGAGGGGTATGTGGGTGCAACGAGGGGTGTGTGGGTGCAACGAGGGGTATGTGGGTGCAACGAGGGGTATGTGGGTGCAACGAGGGGTATGTGGGTGCAACGAGGGGTATGTGGGTGCAACGAGGGGTATGTGGGTGCAACGAGGGGTATGTGGGTGCAACGAGGGGTAAGTAACCAGTGCTTGTATGAAGTAGTGCTCTGCTGAACCTCCTTCATTGCTCCGCCCCAGCAACAAAAGAAACCTCCCTGGGAGAGGCTTCTGCATCTGCAATCCGGGGAGGGGAAGCAGTAACTGTGAAGATTGTGAATTGAACAAGTAATTAGATTAGAGGAACAACCTAGCATACATAGTTGGAAGGGAAGGTTGGAAGGGAAGGATGAAAGTGACCATAGGTTGGGTTGACCTCACTTGGGGAAGTGAGGGAACCATAGGTCAAGTGGGTTGGGTTGCCCACACTTTGTAGAAGTGAGGCAACCCTAGGCCCACTTGGCTTGGGGTAACCTCAATTGTGGGAAGTGAGGTACCCACAAGTCAAGAGGGTTGCATTTGGGGGCTCCACCACAATTGGGTGGATTGGCACCCCAAAGTGCAAGACTACACCCAAAGTTGGGTGTAGTCCCAACCCAAGGGTGAAGCCGTAGCCCTGGGAGGAGCGGCGGTCCGGCTGCGTGTCAGCCCATGAGGAGTCACTGAAGCCCGAGAGAAGGGGACGGGAAGGGCCGCCGAGGGTGAGGGCAAGGTCCCTGGTCCCGCGAAGGTAGCGGAGGACCCGCTTGGCAGCTTTCCAGTGCTCCTCAGAGTGACGACCGGTGCCGACAAAGCGAGCGAGCACGCTGATGGGGTAGGCGAGGTCGGGGCGGGTGCACAACATTGCGTACATCAAGGACCCAACGAGCTCGGCATAGGGGTGGGGGGAGGAGGTGGGGGAGGTGGGTGGAGCGAGTTGGTGACCGAAGGGGAGCGGGGTGGAAACAGGCTTGGCTTGCGCCATGTCGAACTTCTCCAAGACCTGACCGATGTAATGGGACTGGGAGAGGGTGATTGTGCGAGCAGGGCGGTTGCGCGTGATGGTCATGCCGAGGTAGTGAGTGAGGGCGCCAAGGTCTTTGCACTTGAGCCGCTGCTGCAGGGACAGCTTCACCTGCCCCATGTCGGCCTTGGTGTCAGAGAGCAGGATCATGTCGTCGACATATACCAGAATGAAGAAGCGGCGGGGGGAGGAGCGGATGAAGAGGCTGGCGTTGGAGTGGGAAGCAGAGAAGCCGAGGGACCCCAAGGTGGCAGCCAGCTTCGCATGCCACTCACGCGGTGCCTGCTTCAAGCCGTAGACGGGGCGACGCAGCTGCCAGACAGTGTTCTCAGGAAAGGCTGCGTGGAACCCGGGGGGTCGCCGGAGGAAAATGCGCTCATGCAGGTCGCCCTGCAGGAACGCATTGGAGACGTCCATGGAGTCGATTTCCATGTCGTCACGTGCACCAATGTCCATGGCGGCGCGAAGGGTGGGTGGTTTGGCGGTGGGGGCGTAGGTGAACCAGTAGTCCTCAGCCCAAGTCTGCGTGAACCCCTTGGCGCAGTAGCGGGCCTTGTACACTGGTTCCTCGCCCGGCAGCTGCTTCACCCGAAAGACCCATTTGCCGTCAACGAGATTAGCGCCAGCAGGGAGGGGGACATCGACAAAGGAGTCGTTGCGAATGAAAGCCTCACACTCTAGGAAGATCGCTGCTATCCATTTATCCGCATCAGGGCAGGTGATGGCTTCCTGGAAGGTGGAGGGAGTGAAGATGGTGGGGGTAGTAGTGGCGCCAAGGACAGGAAAGCCCAGGAAGTCAAGGTAGAGGGCGGCAAGGAATGGAGTGTGCTCCCGAATGTTAAGAAACTCCTCATGGGAGTCCTCAAGGAGCTGAATGGAGGCAGGAGGAGGAGCCCCAAGGATTTTGTCCACAGAGCGGGTATGGATGTAAGGGAGGAGGAAGGGGGAGGAACGGGAAGTGGCACGACGCCGCTGCTGCTGCTGGTGCTGCGGAAGCTGCTGCCCTTGTTGCTGCGGCTGCGGCTGACCGTGCTGGTGCTGCGGCTGCTGAGGCTGCTGAGGCTACTGCTGCTGCTGCTGCCGCTGCTGCTGCTGCTGCTGCTGCTGCTGCTGTCCCGGCTGCCGCTGCTGCTGCTGCTGCTGGCCCGGCTGCTGCTGCTGCTGCTGCCCCGGCTGCTGTCCCGGCTGCTGCTGCTGCTGCTGTTGCTGCTGCGGCTGCTGCTGCTGCTGATCCGGCTGCTGGAAGGAGGGAGAGGGAGAGGAGGAGGGAGGGGGGGGGAGGGGGTGCGGCCGAGTGAGCGGGGGAAGCGGGTGCGGCAGGGTCGTAGACATCGGCGGAGGAGGAGGGCGGGAGCGGAGCTGCGACGGGTGGGAGGAGAGGGGCTGGAGGGAGAAGGGGCGGGAGGACGGTGTCGGTCCAAGCAAGGGGACGAGTGGGAGGAGGGAGAGGATCAGGGGGAGGAGTGGAGTAATAGGGGACGGATTCGTCGAAGACGACGTCGCCGCTGCGGATGAGGCGATTGGTGGGAGGGTGGAGGAAGAGGTAGCCTGGGGAGTCGCGATTGTGCCCAAGGTAAACGCATTCCAGGGCGCGAGGAGCAAGCTTGCCAGCGGCGCGGGAGCGGTCGGCGGGTGGAATGAGAACGAAGGCCTTGCAGCCCCAAACGCGAAGGCCGGCAGCGTCGGGTTTGGCGTTGGACCAAAGCTCTGTAGGGGAGGAGGAAGGATGCTGAGGGTGGGAGCGGAGATTAAGGAGAAGAGCGGCGTGGAGGAGGGCATAGCTCCAGAGGGAAGGAGGGGTGGAGGCATGAGCAATGAGACAGCGAGCTATCTTGGTGATCTCACGAATGCGGCTCTCAGCAATGCCGTTCTGCTGAGGGGAGTGGGGAAGGGTGGAGGTCTGTTGGATGCCGTAGGTGTTGCAGTATGTGGCAAGGGTGTTATTGATGAACTCACCCCCACCGTCAGAGTGAAGGCGGCCGATGGGGCGTTTGAAGTGATTGCGGCACTGTTCGGCCCAGTTGATGACCACTGCCGGCACCTGGTCTTTCGTGTGAAGGAAGAAGGTGGTGGAGTACCGGCTGTGGTCGTCAACGAGGACGAGCATGTACCGATGCCCCTGGCGGGAGCGGATGGGATAGGGGCCCCAGAGGTCCATGTGCACAAGGTCAATGGGGGCGGCGGCGAAGGTGGGATGACTGTGGTGGGGGGACTGTTTGAGCTTGCCGTGAATGCATGAAGGGCATGGGGGAGAGGGGGAGGAGGGGAGGGGAGGTAAAACAAGAGGAAGGCTGCGGAGGAGGCGAGAGGTGACTGTGGTGCGAAGGGCGGTGAAGTTGGGATGGCCGAGTCTGTGGTGTAAGAGGACAGCAGGATGGGAGAGGGTAGTGGAGGAGGAGGGAGATGGGGTGATGGAAGGAACGGGAGGGGAGGAGGAGGATGGTGGGGAGGGAGAAGAGGATACTTGAGGGGGAGGGGAAGGGGGAAGTAAAGGAGGAGGAGGTGGACCGGTGGAAGCACCGGAACGAGTGGTGACGTGGCAGAAGGATGGGCGAGGCGTGCGGAGTGTGTAGAGGCGAGTGCGGGGGCAAAGCGGAATGCGGAGAAGGAAGCGACCGGAGGAGGTTTGGTAGAGATCACAGTAATTGGCATAACCGGGGTAAATGGCAGTGATACCAACACCTTGGAGCTCACGGTGGGAGAGGAGGTTGTTGCGGAGAGTGGGGATGTGGAGACCTGTGACCTTACCGGAGGGGAAGGCAGTGCAAGGGAGGGTGGAGAGGTGAGTGCATGGAATGGAAAAGCTGGAATCAGCCCCATGAACCTGAGTGGGAAGTGGTAGTGGGGTGAGAGTGCCAGCGTCTTTCAGTGCGGTTTCAGTGGCTCCACTGTCAAGGACAAAGTCCAGGGTGGGAGAAGAGGGAGGAGGGGGTGGGACGGGGTACTGAAACGAAGTCTCATTGATAGCAGAGGGATACATGGCAGCGACGGACGGTGCAACACTGATATTACCAAGGAAACTACCAGAAGTGTCGGGAACACTGGGGGGGGCAGAGGGGAGGGAACCCCAGGGGGGAGGAGGAGGAAGGGAGGTATGAGCGGCCATGGCCGCTGTGCCGAAGGTGAGTGGCTGCTGCTGCCAGGGTGGGGGAAGGAACTGCTGCTGCTGCTGCGGCGGTGGCTGGAAGAACTGCGGCGGCGGCGGCTGCTGGGGCTGGAGAAACTGCGGCTGCTGCTGCTGCTGGTGGAAGTACAGGTGCTGCTGCTGCTGGTGCTGCTGAAACTGCTGCAGCTGTGAGGGTGGGGAGGGGGTAACCATGCGGAGGTGAGCAGGAAGGAAAGAGGGGAGGGTTTGAATGTCCACTAAGGAGGGGCGAGGTGTGACCGAGTTCCAGCGAGGAGGGGTGCCAGTGTTGCCGCGATCAAACCAGGCGTCGTCGAGTGCCTTAAAGCACGTGGTGGGGGGATGGTTGGTCTGGCCGCAAGGGGTACCTGCATGGGGACCATGGCGACGCACATATGTGCATGGGGGGAGAGTGCCAGGGCGTCCGCCTCGAGTCACAGCACCTCCAGCAGGGGCGCTGCCAGCACCACCACCACCGCCACCACGGCCACCACGGCCACAACTACCACCACCGCCACCACCACGGCCTCCACCACCACCACCGCCACCCGCTCCACGGCCTCCGCCGCCGCCGCTGCGACCACCCTGGTTGCGCGGCTGCGTAACGTTGAGGGAGGTGGAGGAGGACTGAGGGGTGGTAAGGTTGACAACGGGGGTGCGGAGCTTGACCTCCGTGTCAATGATCCACTGGACCACGTCGTCGAGGCCGGCCATGGGGTTGGCCTCAGTGAAGGCATGGAGGCGGGACTCGTAGTCCGGGGTGAGGTTGTAGAGGAGGCGGTGGATTTGCAGGGGCTCGGGGAGGGCAGCTTGGCGTGCCGCAAGGCGATCAGCGACCTCCTGCATGCGCCCCACGTAGTCAACTGCGCCATCACAAGTGGCGAGGGTGATGGAGAAGTACTCCTGGAACAGGGCGCCGACAGAGCTGATGTCGCGACGCTCGAACATGGCCTGGAGCTCGGCCCAGATGAGGGAGGCGCGCATCTCGCGAGCTTGGAAACGGCGCATGAGGGTATCAGGGAGTGCGCCGAGGAGGATGGTGCAGGCGCGGTTGTCAGCAGTGGCCCATGCGATGCTCCGAGGGAGGTAGTCCGCCATGGCCGTATTGTACTCATCAAGGAGCGCCAGGCGATTGGCGCGTTCCGCTACCGCGAAGTCGTGGTTATGTACCGCAACCTCATGCTCCGCCTTGCGGATGAGGTATTCGCGGCGATCGTGGAGAAATGCGGCATCGGCGGCATCTTGGAGCGCTGGGGAAGTGGCGATCTCCAAGGTGGGTTCAGGAGGAGGAGGACCAGGAGGAATGGGGGGTGGAGGGGGTTCGCCGGGGTGATTGGGTGCCGTGGGCTGGAGGGCTTGCGGGCGGCGGAGGAGGACGTCAAGGACGCAGTAGGGTCCGACGAATGCATCTTGGAGAACACGGCGGATGCTCCCGACGAAGGAATGCCAGTTGATCGCCGAGCGGTCCGCGGCAAGCTGAAGCTTGTCGACGGAGGAGGCGTCAATGGGAGGGGGGAGAGGGGGAGGAGTGGTAGCCATGAGGGGCGACGGCGGGTGGACCCGCGGCGGCCTCGAGGTGGACGGCGGCGGGTGGACCCGCGGCGGGCAAGTGGGAGGGCGACGGCGGGTGGACCCGCGGCAGCCGAGAGGGAGGAGGGGGGGGGGGGGGGGGGGGGGGGGGGGGGAGGGGGGGGGGGGAGGGGAGGAGGGGGAGGACGATGGTGGATGCAGCTGCTGCCGCTGCTGCCGCTGCTGCCGCTGCTGCCGCTGCTGCCGCTGCTGCTGCTGAGAGGGAGGAGGGGGGGGGGGGGAGGGGAGGAGGGGGAGGACGATGGTGGATGCAGCTGCTGCCGCTGCTATCGCTGCTCCTGATGCTGCCGCTGCTGCCGCTGTTGCTGCTGTGGCTGCTGAGCTGTCCCGGCTGCTGCTGCGTGGGAGGAGAGGAGGAGGAAAGGGGGAGGGGGAGGGAGAACGCAGGTGTAGCTGTGGGCGAAGCTGTTGCTGCCAATGACGCTGCTGCTGCGGGATGAGGCGGCTGCTACGAGGAACGTTCGGCGGCGGGATGCGCGGATGGCGACGAGGGAATCGTGGCGGCGGAATGAGCGAGCGGCGACGAGGAGGGCGCGGCGGAGGGATGCGCGGGCGGCGACGGGGAAGGCGCGGCGGTGGGATGCGCGGGCGGCGACGAGGAAGGCGCGGCGGCGGGATGCGCGGGCGGCGACGAGCAGGTCGCGGCGGTAGGATGCGGGGGCGGCGATTGTTAGGTCGCGGCGACGGGATGTGCGGGCGGCGACGAGCAGGTCGCGGCAGGAGGTCGCGCGGGCGGCGACTTTAGGTCGCGGCGGCAAGGGGTGCAGGCGGCGACGAGAAGGTCGCGGCGGCAGGGGTGCAGGCGGCGACGAGAAGGTCGCGGCGGCGGGATGCGCAGGCGGCAACGCGAAGTCGCGGCGGCGGGTCGTGCAGGCGGCGACGCGAAGTCGCGGCGGCGGGTCGTGCAGGCGGCGACGCGAAGTCGCGGCGGCGGATCGTGCAGGCGGCGACGAGCGGGTCGCGGCGGCGGGATGCGTAGGCGGCGACGGGGGGGTCGCGGCGATGGGGAGTGCAGGCGGCGACGCGAAGTCGCGGCGGCGGGACAGGAGGCGACGACGGGGCGTCGCGGCGGCGGGATGCGCAGGCGGCGCCGAGGAAGGCGCGGCGGCGGTGGGGGGAGGCGGCGACGCGACGTCGCGGCAGCGGGAGGGGCAGGCGACGACGGGGCGTCGCGGCGGAGGGATGCGCGGGCGACGCCGAAGTAGGCGCGGCGGCGGGAGGGAGACGGCGACGGGGGGTCGCGGCAGGGGGAGGAGGAGGCGGCGACGAGGCGTCGCGGCGGGATGTGCAGGCGGCGCCAGAGAAGGCGCGGCGGCGGAAAAAAGGGGGAGGGGGGGGGAGGGGGGCAGCGACGGTGTGTCGCGGCGATGGGGGGCGGTGACGACGTAGGTCGTGCCAAGGAGATGCTAGGTTGAGCCACACGTAGGGGGTTTGTGGCTGTGGGGTGGGCCCATGGGGAAGAAAAAACTTTGAGGGAGGGAGAGAAAAGGCTTAGGAACAACTAGCTCTATACCATGTGAAGATTGTGAATTGAACAAGTAATTAGATTAGAGGAACAACCTAGCATACATAGTTGGAAGGGAAGGTTGGAAGGGAAGGATGAAAGTGACCATAGGTTGGGTTGACCTCACTTGGGGAAGTGAGGGAACCATAGGTCAAGTGGGTTGGGTTGCCCACTCTTTGTAGAAGTGAGGCAACCCTAGGCCCACTTGGCTTGGGGTAACCTCAATTGTGGGAAGTGAGGTACCCACAAGTCAAGAGGGTTGCATTTGGGGGCTCCACCACAATTGGGTGGATTGGCACCCCAAAGTGCAAGACTACACCCAAAGTTGGGTGTAGTCCCAACCCAACTGTACACCACAATTGGTGTACAGTCACATGTGTTGGCATGCTACACAATATATATTTTAACAGTAACAACAGCGCCACCCACTGCGTGTTGTCTTAAGCCATTCCTCCTCTCCTCCGTACCCGTTTCCCACCCCCCAACCCCTCCCCTTCCCGCCCGTCAGGTGTCCCCCCATGCTCTCTGGCCCCTCGTGCGGCCGTCTGCCCCCTCTGCTGCCGTTCACGTGCCTCAGCGGGTGCCATGCGCGGGGGGTGTGTGTGCATGGCTTCTGCATCTGCAACCCGGGGCACTTTGGCATTGACTGCTCTCTCTCCAAAGCAGGGCCCAGGGGCCGCACACAGTGAGTTTGTGCATGCGTGTGTGGGTGTGGTGTGGCGGTGTGTGATTGTCTCAGAGGCGCCTCACAATGCAAGTGGCTGTGGGCTTATGCATCTGCAACCCGGGGCACTTTGGCATCGACTGCTCGCTCTCCAAAGCAGGGCCCAGGGACCGCACGCGGTGAGAGGGTGGGAAGGGAAGGAGGTGATTGTGTGTGGTGTTTTGGCTATGTGGGCATGTCTTATAAGGCGCCTCATGCTGCAGGTGCCTGTGGGTTTCTGCAATTGCAACCCGGGCACTTCTGCTTGACTGCTCGCTCTCCAAAGCAGGGCCCAGGGACCGCACGCGGTGAGAGGGTGGGAAGGGAAGGAGGTGATTGTGTGTGGTGTTTTGGCTATGTGGGCATGTCTTATAAGGCGCCTCATGCTGCAGGTGCCTGTGGGTTTCTGCAATTGCAACCCGGGCACTTCTGCTTGACTGCTCGCTCTCCAAAGCAGGCCCCAGAGATCGCACGCGGTGCGAAGGGGGGGAGCGTGATTTTGTGGGTGCATGTGCATGTGTGATGCGTGTGCATGTGTGATGCGTGTGCATGTGTGATGCGTGTGCATGTGTGATGCGTGTGCATGTGTGATGCATGTGCATGTGTGATGCATGTGCATGTGTGATGCATGTGCATGTGTGATGCGTGTGCATGTGTGATGCGTGTGCTTGTGTGGGTGTGTGTAATTGCGTGGGTGCGTTTCCCCTCTCTTCCTGTTTCGCTTCACAACAGCACACCAAGAACTGCCACCACCACCTTCCTAATCTCACTTGCCCCTTCCCCCAACCCCCCCCCCCCCCCTGTTCCCCCACCCCCCCCTCTTTCAGTGTCGTGCCTGCACCCCCCTTCTCCTGGCCGGAAGGCCTATCTCTCCCCACGCCCGCCCCTGCCTCCTCACCTCTCATCTACATCTACGACCTTCCCCCACACGTCACCTCCTGGTCCCTGCTGCTCGGCATACCCCCCTCCTCACCCTTACTCTCCACCTTTTCCGCACCCTCTCATTCTCCTGGCCCGAAGGCTGGTGAGGGGGGAGACGATGGGGGACGAGTGGGCGGAAGGGGAGGGGGAGAGGGCGGAGGGGAGTGGGAGGGGGGAGCGGAGGGGGTAGCGGCAGTGCTGTTCTTGGAGCGTCTATTGAGGAGTCCCTTCCGCACTGCAGACCCCTATGCTGCTCACTTCTTCCTCATCCCAGTGCTCCCCTGGTGCGTCTTCTCACTCTCTTACCTCTCCCTTGCTCTGCCGCTTTTTACCTGCCTGATGAGCTGTGGTCAAATCTCTGTCCCTACCGCACGGCCAAGCCACATGCTGCTCATTACTTCCTGATTGCCAGTGCTCCCCCAGTGTGCCATGCCGCTCCTTTACCACTCTTCCTTCTGGTCCACTCACTACCTTGTCTCCACCATCACGGCGGGAGAAGCGTCCATCCTACGAGCCGTGCACTACGTGAGCCGGCAATGGCACCAACCACCTCATCCTTTCCCCCGTTCCTCCACTCCCTACCTCTCACCACCATCAGGGCGGGAGCAGCGTCCATCCTACGAGCAGTGCACTACGTGAGACGCGTCTGGCCCTTCTGGTCTAATTCCAACGGAGCCAATCACCTTATCCTCACCACCATCACCGCCGCCGCCCCTACTCACAGCCCCGTCTGCACGCTCACTCTAGACAAATCCCGCCACCCGCTGCTCGCCCGCTGCTCGTTCCTGGCGATTCCAGTCGCAGATACTACCTTCCCCAGCTATCCCTTTTTTCAAGACTCACCTGAGACTGACAAAACTGCTGCCGCTCCTGCCAACGCCACCAGCAGCAGCAGCGGTAGCAGCAGGGGAAACCAGTCATCATCACTCCCCTGTTTCCTGCCCACTCAAGACCTTCTGCTGCCTCCTGCTCTTCCTCCCATTGCCCTAACTCGCTCCCTCTTCGCTCTCCGTCCCCCAACCAAGCAACCCACTCGTGGTACCCTCCTGCTGTTCAGTGACTGGGGTGTGGGGGAATGGACGGGTGAGAGTGTGGGGAGCGGTGGTGTGGGAGCGGGGAGCAGTGAGTCGGGGGATGGTGGAGTGAAGGAGGTGAGGGATCGCATGATGGGGGGGTTGAAAGAAGAAGATCACAAGGGGAAAGTGATTGTGCTGTCACAGGAGAATGGCAGCAGCAGAAGCAGAAGCAGCGATAACAGTGGTAATGGTGTTGGCGACGGTGGCGGGAGCGGCAGTTTTGGGCTGGAAGCAGTGGTTGATGCAGCACTGGAGAGCGTGTTCTGCGTGGTGTTGCCTGCCTGGACACACACACTGGAACCCTCTCTTTTTGTCCTGCACGGCTGCATTCCCGTCTTTATACAGCACGACGAGGAAGGAGATTTATTACCTCCACAGTCACTCCAAAACAGCACCGTTTTGGATTGGTCCGAGTTCTCGGTGATGCACCCTGCTTCACAAGCACACGTCCTCGTTACAAGCCTCCTCGAAATCCCGCAAGAGGATATTGATAGGCGGCGCAAAGAAATGGGTAGAATTTGGAGCAAGCTCGTGTGGACAAGCCCGTCGTTCAACCTGCTTGCTCTTCTTCCTGCGGATGACCAACGTCGACTCACGCCATTGCTTGCAGCAGACGATGTCTTTCAGACCATTGTTGCCAAACTGCAGAAAAGGTTGGAGAAATAAAAATATAAGAAATCTGTGGGATTTTTGTTAAGTGCTTCCAGTGCTGTGCTGTGGTGAATGGTACTGTAAGTGCTCCTATTGTGCCGTAATAATGTGAAATGTGTATCATTCCATCCATTATATTGCACGACATTCCAACCCAACATTCCAAGCCAACATTCCAATCCAACATGCGCGATGTTCTCCCGCCAGCAATCCAATCGAAATGCTCCTTCCCTCCGCCCTCATCGCATTCCCATAATTGCATCAACAGCCACACGGGGTCACAAGTAAGTCTGTCCAATCACGCGAAGCCACGTTTGCAGGCTCCGCTTTCCATCTGTCCCGTCCCGTCAATCACGCCCCACTCTCTCTCGCGCCTCTTTTTTTCGCCACTCGCTCCGCTCCGCGCGCCTCTCTGTTACTCGCTTCGCCAACCCTGTCTTACGCATGCATACTTGGTACATTCGTAACTAACTGGTAACTTACTAGTTAACTTCCATCACATTCTATCGACATACTCACCCCACTTTGCAGAGGAACAGGCCGACACCCTTCGTCTCAAGAGACTTACCGAGGCATCGCAAAATGTTCTCTCAAGGGCACTAGACGACTTGTGCATCAGCGGAGGTGGCGGAAGCGGCGGAAACGAACTAGGCAAATGCAGCTTCACTGCGGTAGGATGGCCCGACACCGTACTATTCTACTGCATTCTAGACCGTTCTCGCGATCCCTGCGCGCACCGCGTCGCGGCCGCCGTTCCGCCTAATGGCCTAGCACTCCCTACCGCCGCCTATTGCCGCGTAACTCCGCCTAACTCCGCCTACCGCCGCCCCGCGACAAGTATTAAGGCGCCTCGAATCTCAAATATCGACGCCCCGCGCCGCGTACCTAGGCCGATTGTTAGGCGCCTCGAATTAAGACACCTAGGGCTGCCCAGCAGGCCGATCCGTAGGCGCCTCGAACATCGAAGATAGACACCTGCACCTACCTATCGCCCTCTGATGGCCTAGTGGTACCCCCCCCCAACAGCGGTGCCCCCCAAAACCGCGGAATTCGGTCGGCGCGGAAACGTCAAGGTCTCCCGGCGCCTGCCGCGCGTGCAGCGGACTCCGCTCCGCGCACCATCGTCTCCTTCGCTGCTCCCCAGCTCTCCTCTTCCCCGCGCCCCTCCCACTCCGCCCCCTCCGTGCATTTCCTTCCCCCCTTCCCCCTCCTCTCCCCCTCCCCCTCCACCGCCCCCACCTTCCTCCCATGGCGTACACGCGGTGCCTGTCGCTGCCCGTTATAGCGGGCTTCGCTTTAATCGCGTTCGTCGCGTACACTGCGATCTTCCTCGTCGTCCAACCCTGGCTAGGACTAATCACCGCCGCGGGCGTCCTTAATGTCGCCGCGTTTTGCGGCTGGACCGCCATGGTCGTCTTCTCCTACATGCTCTCTATTTTCCGCGATCCGGGATCGGTTCCCGCGCACTACGTTCCCGACGCGGAGGGCGACGCGGAGATTAACGCGGAGGGCGACGCGGGGAGATTAATTCCCGTGCTGGTGGAGGTGAAGCGGAAGGGAGGCGAGGCGCGGTACTGTCAGAAGTGCGGCGCGTACAAGCCGGCGCGCTGCCACCACTGCCGCATCTGCAAGCGCTGCGTGCTGAGAATGGTGCGGGGAAGGAAGGGGAGGGGGGAACTGGGGCAGAATGGGAGGGGGGAAAAGAGGGGAGAAGTAGGGGGAGAAGGAGTGGGTGGGGGATAATGGGGGAGAGAGGGAAATGGAGGAGAGGGGGAGAAGAATTGGGGGAGTTGGGAAGGATAATGGGGAGTGCGCAGTTAAACGGGGGGAGGTGGAGTTAAGGGGCGCGGATGGGTGCGGGGGAATGAACCACCGCACAACCTCTGTTACCCCGTGCCACGCCGCCCTTTCTCTTTAATTCCCTCTGACCCCCCACCCAGGAGGACCACCATTGCGTGTTGATCAGCAACTGTGGCGCATACGGCTTCTTGAGGCATCGCAACAATTCTCTCCTTTGCCTTTCCTCCTCCCTCTCTCTTTCTCCCCACCACCCGCACCCCTCCCAGGACCACCACTGTGTGTGGATCAACAACTGTGTGGGCCACGCCAACTCCAAGGCCTTCTTCCCTTTCTTGCCCGCTCCGTTCACCTCCCCGTCCCTCCTCCCTTTCTCTTTCCCACCCCGCTGCCCTCCTTCTTTCTCCTCACTCCCCCCTGCCTCTCCAATTCCCTCTGGCCCTCCCTCCCAGGACCACCACTGTGTGTGGATCAACAACTGCGTGGGCCACGCCAACTACAAGGCCTTCTTCCCGTTCTCGGCCCCCTCCCCTCCCCCCTTCACCTCCCGCTCTCTGCTCCCTCCCTCGTTCTCCTCACTTCCCACTGCCTCTCTCATTCCCTCTGGCCCCTCGCAGGACCACCACTGTGTGTGGATCAACAACTGCGTGGGCCACGCCAACTACAAGGCCTTCTTCCTCTTTGTGCTCTACGATGTCATTGCTCTCACTCACACCGTGGTATGCTAACTAACCACCGCCTCTTGCTCACCCTCATGACAAACTCCCAAAAGGCACTCACATCACACCATGCGATCCACCTCTTTCTAGCACATTACCACACGCACACCTTCCTTACACCCTCCAGTTGAGTCAACCAGTCCTTCTGTGACCCACTCTCATGAGTGCAGTGCATGCCCTGCTGTGCCACTCGGTCAGCTAAAACCCCCTCTCTCCCCCCATCCCCCATCCCTGCAAACCCCCCTGACCCCCGACTTTCCAGGCTCTCCTCATTGCCTTCTTCATTTCCTCCTGGTCTGCTGACCCCCTCCCGCGCTCCTCCACGGCTCATCTCGACTCCTCAGCAGCATCAACAACAACGGCAGCAGCAGCAGCAGTGGCAGCAGCAGCGGCAGCAGTGGGGCAAGAGGCGTACTCTCAGCCGGCATTGCTGCTCGTACCCTCCCCAGTCACCTGCTCTGTGCTCCGGGTCAGTGGCTCTTCATTCTCAACTTTTTAGAGTCCCCTTTATATCTTTGAGGTGCCTCACTAGTCGCCGAATATATTACTTTTATGTCGACTCATGCGTCACGGCAAAAGTGGGACACTCACATTCTCCAAGAACCATTCACGCACACCGTCCGCCTAAGCACCAAGTGCCACCTCCGAACCATTCTCTTTCCAACCTCGCCCTTTTTCCCCGCCAGGCACTGTGCTTGCTTGTGAGTCTACCACTGCTGATCGCTCTGGTGGTGCTGCTCGTGTGGCACTGCTACCTCATTGCCATCAACAAAACCACCATTGAGGTGAGCCCACCAGTCTTCCAACAATCCATCCAGTAATCGTCCCAGCAATCTCCCAAACACTATCCCCCTCCATTCCTCTTCTGTATTTCTCTTCTCTGTGTGCCTCTGCTTGCCTCTTCTTTCCTCCTCTTCGTTCCCTGTGTTGTGTGCTGTGTAGCACTACAAGAGCGTGAGGGTTCCAGTAGTGAGCCCAAACCAAACCAAGTGCTGTTTGAAAATCATATCAAGAACCTTTATCTCTGCTTCCCTCTTCTTCCCTCCTCCTGCCTACCCTCCGTCCGTTCAACATCTTCATTCCATGCCATGTGTGCAGCACCACAAGGTGTGAGGGTGCATGTGACTGGTGGGCCCAAGCACACTTGCCTCTCTATTTATCTGCTTGCGTTCTCCTTCCTCCTCTTCATTCCACTCCACATATGCAGCACTGCGAGGGTGTGAGGCCGCAACTAGTGATGAGCCTAAGACTAGCGGTGTTTTGAGCCTTTTCTTCCCTACCTTCCGTCCCTCCTCCTTATCCCACTCCACGTGTACAGCACTATGAGGGTGTGAGGGCGAGACTAGTGAGCCCAAGACCAGTGGTGCCAAGTCAACCACCCCCCTCCCACCCATACGACCTTGGGATCATCGCCAACCTCTCTGCAGTAAGCACTCGCAACCCTTTCCCCTCTGCTTCCTCCCACCCATACGACCTTGGGATTATCGCCAATCTCTCTACCATAAGCTCTCCTAACCCTTTCCGGAGTGTTTTAGGACCAGAGGCGCTGTGCTGGCTGTGTCCCAACACATGCTTTCTACGTAATGTATTCCATTGCCCAAAGCACCTCTCCCCTTCAATTTCTTCTCTCTTCCTCCTCACTTTCCCCCCCTCCCTCCTCCAGATCCTAGGGCCAGAGGCGCTGTGCTGGCTGTGTCCCAACGACACGCGGCACATCTCAGACGGGCTGCACTTTGACACCGCCTATTCCATCTCACGCCGCTCCCAGCTCTCTCTCAACCACCACACCGGCCACCTGGACCATGTAGACCGCCTATTATGACTGAGCCACTCTGACAGTCGCTGAATGCTTCTGATCGGCTGCATGCTCTGTGTGCCTGCCTGCCACAGTGCCTTTTCTCACTCAGTGCACCTGTGTGCGTTATGAGACGGATCTGACTTACCGTACTCTCTGTGTCTGCCCCTTGATCCTCCTCCTGCCCCAAGCTCTCACTCAACCACCTCACCACCCACCTTGGCCATGTGAACCGCTACGATGGGTGCGCATAGTTGGCTTGCCTGCCTGTCAGTGCCCTTTCACACCCATTTGCACCCATTCACACAGAGTGATGGCACATATGACTGCAGCCTGAATGATGTTGCTGCCATCACCACTGCAGATGCAGTGGGTGGAAACAGCACAGCATGCTCTTGCTAGGTTGACATCACTGAGGGGACACTACTCACCTTTACCTTAACCGGCTCCGAGTCATAGACATCTCCTGTCCAGAGGTTATATTGGTTCATTTAAATGCATACTTGCATTGCATATACATAACCACCTAGAGTCCATCAATTGCTGGTGCATTGGCTGTACCCGGTAGTGTCAAGCAAAAGCCCTGGGATGAAAAAATCTCAATTACTGGTGCTCGAGCACCAGTCTTGCACGAGTCTGGCACCAGCTGGGCAATTCATACATTTATTTAAAGCCTCGTGTGTGGTGTGTGGTGCTGTTATCTACCAGCAGCGTTAGCCATGCACCAGTCTGGCAGCCCAGCCTCCTTCCTCCACGGGTCATTACACCTCTTATACAACAACACCTGCTCGCGCCACTCACACAGACGCACACAGAGGCACAGACACGCACACAGCACGGGAATCTCTGGGTATAGAATTCACAGGGGAATCCAAAATTTACTAGGTGACTCAAGGATACAGCTCGCCGCCTGAACTGATATCTCCAGAGGTTGTAGCACCTGTTGCCCACCTCTGCCCTTTGCCCCTCCCCTTCCCGCACCTGTACAAGCATAGCCAAGGCATCGTCCCCCCTACATGCCCTCCATTGCAGGCATCCACAGCTGCTCCCTCTCTTCCCCTCCCTGTGCGCCCCCAACCCCCAATATCACTCTCTCCCTTTCCCTCACCTCTGCCCATCGCCCCCATCCCCCATACCTGTAGAAGCGTGGCAATGGCAACGTCCCCCCGCATCCCCTCCACTGCAGGCATCCATACCTGCGGCCTCCCCCTGTGTACCCCCTCCCCCCTGTGTTCCCCCTTCCTTCTTTCCCCTTCTGCCATACCTGTAGAAGCGTAGCGATAGCGTCGTCCCCCCGCAGGTCCTCCATTGCAGGCATCCACAGCTGCGGCCTTCCCCCGTGTGCCTGCCTCCTGCCTTCCATCCTTGCCACACTCGCATACGCCCAGCGCTGCCACACCGACTCCACTCCTGACAGAAGCTCCTGCACGCGGTTAGGGGGGATGGCCTGGTGGGCGGCATGGGGGACGGGTGGAAGGGGAAATGGGAGGTGGGTATCCCTATCGCAGCCACACGAGTTAAGGGGGGTGGCTTGGTGGGAGGGACGGTGAAGGGAGTGGGGGATGGTGAGTATGAGAGGGCGGGATGGGTAGAAGGTTGATGCGAGGACCGAAAACGTGAGAGGGGGTGTCTGAAAGGGCGGAATGGCGAGGAAGGTTGACGTCATCCACATGCCATCCTGCCTCTCTTGCCCCTCTCTCCTTGCCCCCCGCCCACTCGCCCTCTCCCCTCTCTCGTCCCTCCCTCCAACGCACCCTTAGAATGTCCACCAGGTGGGGGATATCATCCTCGGCCACGCGGACAGCAAACTCGGAGTAGTTGAGGTGCCTCTCAAACGCCATCCACACACCGTCCTGCACGATGACGGGGATGCACCGGTGCAGCATCGCATCCTCCATGCGCGCACTGAAGCCGTCCCCTGGGAACACCCCGCAGAAACGAGATGCGGCGAGCTGCGGATGGGTGGGGGAAGTGAAGGGCGGCGTAAGGGGAGAGACTGAGCCCACCCCAACACTCTCCTTCTGGGTGATCCCCCCCTCACGCCGTCCTGCACGATGACGGGGATGCACCCGCGCAAAAATAACATGCTCCATGCGAGCACTGAAGCTTCAGTTCCTTCCAACTTCCATCCTGATCCCCCCACCTCCCCCCCCTCCTTCCTCACCTGCTTGCCATACTCGCCAGTGGCTCTGTTGGTAACCACCACGTCCTCCTGGTGCTGCCGCCCCAGCTGGCCCTCCTTGTTGGGAGACGACGCGAATTCCTCTGCCACCTTCTGCCGAATGCCCATGCTGTACCTGAGTGTGAAAGGTTGGAGAGTTGGAGGAGTGGGGTGCGCGGATGGAGTGGGGTGCGCGGATGGAGTGGGGGTGGGTTGGGGAAGGGGGGCGAGGGAAGAAAGAAAGGGGAAAAGGGGAAGGGGGAAGAGAAGAAAGAAGGGGGAAGAGGGAAAAGGGGAGGGGGAAAGGGTTAATGGGGAAAGGAGGTAGGAAAGGAGGACATGAGAAGCTGGGAAGCATGGAGGAGCGCAACGTGGCTTCCTTCCACCCTCCTGTGATTCAAGCACCACTCCAAATTAACTTTCTCTTGATCCACGCAAAATGGTTTTCCTGAACCATTCCATAATACTCTAGGGTCCAGTGAAAAATATATCCGAGTAGATTCCAGTACCCAAACGTGCAAGATGTACAGAGCCGAGCGCTGGGATGGGATGGATGGGATGGGATGGTAAAGAGCTAAGGTTGAATGGAATGAAATGGAATGGAATGGGATGGGATGGAATAGAGCTCACTTGGGCTCCACGCGGCCGCGCTCGAACGCACTGCCGAGGTTCCCGTTGAAGTAGAAGAGCGTGGGGCGGGTCTCCAGTGTGCTGCACACACAGCACAACGCATGCAGACAAGCGCACAGCACAAGACATGCAGACAAGCAAGCATGGCACAACACATGCAGACAAGCGCACAGCACAACACAACGCACAAAGCGGAGGAGAGGGAGATTGGGGGATTGTTGTTGAAGTAGAAGAGCGTGGGGCGGGTCTCCAGTGTGCTGCACACACAGCACAAGACATGCAAGCACGGCACAAGGTATGTGTGAGGAGAGGGCAGTGGGGAGAGGGCGTAAGGAATTCTCGTGGAATTCTCGTGGAATTCTCGTTGAAGCAGAAGAGCGTGGGCCAAGACTCCAGGACGCTGCGAGCACAGCACAGCATGCAAACATGATGTACCATGTGCCATGTACCATGTGCCATGTACCATGTGCCATGTACCATGTGCCATGTACCATGTGCCATGTACCATGTGCCATGTACCATGTGCCATGACCCATGTGCCATGTACCATGTGCCATGTGCCATGTGCCATGTGCCATGTGTCATGCTCCGATGCATCATGTGCCAAGACCCACCCCATGAAACCATCCCACATGCACAAGCACAAACCCACGTACGGAGATTTGATCTTCTGTGCCCGCGCCCAGACGCCAGGAACCTTCCAAGCCGGCATCACCACATCCTTCTCCGGGTCGAAGCACGGGTGGTCCCCCCTCACACTCTCCTCCATTACACTCCAATCATCGTGGTAATACGCGGTCGTACACCCCTTGTGCGTGGTCCCTGTATTCCCCCAGTGCGCCAGCATAATGCTGCTCCAGATGGCCTGAGGGGCGTAGCACGCGCCTTCATCCCATGCAAACATCCATATGTGGTCCTTGCCCCCGTGCCGGTCCCAGAAGGGGTGGTGGGTGCGAATGTGGGCGAGAGCACGGAGATAGAAGTCTGCTACTAGGTTCGGCCGCCGGGCCTTGAATTGACCCTGGAGGGGGGAAGGGGAAAAGGAGGCAGGGTGGTGGGAGTAGGGACAGGGAGATGGGAGGAGTGACAAAGGGTGAGCGGAGAGACACCAAAAAGGGCGAGAAGGGAGGAGGGAACGCGAGGAGGGATGGCCAAGGAGAGCTTGTGGAATAGACAGAGACAACTGTTAAGGTGCCTAAAAATTCATCCGCCTCCAACACCACCCTTCCAACCAACCTCCCCTCTCGCCTACCCTCCCTCTTCTCTTGTACACATGAGTTCGCATCTAAACACAGACACACATGGTGATCACACATGGGACACCATCGCCATCCCTCCCCACACCTTCCCTCTCCCCCTTCCCTCCTCCCGTTCACCCCTTTCCCTCCCCTTTCCCCCTCCCCTTTCTCCCCTTCCCCTCCCCCCCCTTCCCCATCCCCCTTCCCCCCTCCCCTTCCCTCCCCCGTGAGCCACCATGCCTCCATGCGGAATCGGGGAGAGTCGTCAGAGCGGGCGATGATGCAGGCGCCCAGGAGGGGCACGTAGAAGAAATCCGCACTGTCACCGTCCAACGTGCGGTGGGGGCTGCCCAGAAACCCCTCAAACACCGCTGTCTGGGGGGAAGGGGGTGTGGGGGAGAGAGGACAAGGGGAAGGGGGGAGGGGGAAGGGGAGGAGAGGGAAGGTTGACCGATAAGGGTGGGGTGCGGAGGAGATAGGCGGGTGAGAAGCGAGTGGAGAGGCAGTGGAGATTGGGGGGAGAGGGAGATGGGTATGTTGGGAGGGTGGCAGAGCGCTAAGCCATAGAGCCATTTGTCGTAGCACAGGGTGTCCTTCCTTCTCATGGCTGTATGCCCCCGGCTCTCAAGAGTGTGTGGCTGTGCAGCATTGCATGGAATAAGCAGCCTTCGTAGTGCGGAAAGGGCGATGGAGAGGGGGGTGACGGGAGGGGGAGGGGGAGGGGGTGATGGAGAGAAGGGGGTGAGGAGCGGTGGATGGGGAAATGTGGGGGTGAGGCACACCTCTAGTCCATAGAGCCATCCATCGTTGAACAGTGTGTCGTTCTCATGGCTGTATGCGCGCGGCCCACAGTAACTCTTCCACTGCCGCGCCTGGTGTGTGCCATGCCATGCCATGCCATGCCATGCCAAACCACCCATGCCCAACGTCACATCCCAACCCATCCCATCCCATCGCATACCATGCCATGCCAGGCCATGAGTGCCATGCCATGAAACAGAGACAGGAGAGTGAGAGGGCAACAGCACGGGAAACAGCACGTGATGTGGGAAGGATCGCACTGAGTATTTGTAAGAGTGGAGTGGATAAGCACGAAAGAACAGTGGTACAAATGGTTCAGCAAGAAGGAACTTGTATTGTAGTGAGCCCTCCACTCGCTCGCTCTCTCTCCACCACAAAACGGCAACCGCACCGCACCGCACTGCACTCACCTCTAGATTGTGAAAGGTGAACTCTGGCGGCAGGTCATATACATAGATGAGGGGGCGGGTCCGGTTCACCATGGTCCCTATCTCTGCCACACGTGTGCTCTCCGCTTCTGCTGCTCCCCCTGCTACTACTCCTCCTCCTGCTGCAGCAGGAGCTGGTGCTGCTGCACCTTCAATACTGCTGTTGCTGCTGTTGCTGCTGTTGCTGCTGCTGCTGCTGCCACCGCTTGCCTCATTCACATTCGATGAGCCAAGAGAATCAGGGCCAGAACCAGGGGTCTGATCAGGGTAATCAGAGGAGGAATCGGAGTCTGGTTGGTGGGGCAGGGGTATGCGCAGCCATTCGGGGGGGTAGAGGTCGGGAGGCGAGCGCACGGAGGGAATGCTGCAGTCTATGCCGTAGCGATCGCCCTCGCACTGACAGCAGATCGGGGGTGAGGGGGGATTGGAAGGGTTGGACGGTTGGAGGGTTGGTGTGGGAGGGAAGGAGGGAGGGAGGGAGTGAGAAAGCGAGGAGTTGAGAGCAAGAGGTGTGAGAGTGGGTAGGCTAGCGCACGGAGGGGATGCTGCAGTCCATGCCATAGCGGTCGCCCTCACACTGACAGCACACCAATCCCCAGCACCCATTCTCACTGCACACCACCCACTCCCACCTCACACCACCCCCCAGTACCCATTATCACTGCGCAGCACCCCCAGAACCCATACCCCTCAGCACCCATTCTCACCGAGCAGTACCCCATGATGCAGGTGCCAGCACGCGAGCACTGGTTGATGCAGAAGCTCTCGACCGTGGCCTCGCACAGCCGCCCTATCTGCCCATCGTAGTTGCAAAAACACTCCGCTGCTGCTATCTGAGAGGGGTGCGCTTCACACCACGCCACACGCCTATCACTCGCAGCATCGCTGCCGCTGCTGCTGCTGCTGCTGGTGGTGGTGCTGCTGCCACTGTTGCTGGTGCTGCCACTGCTGCTAGTGCTGTCACTGCTGCTGCTAGTGCTGTCACTGCTGCTGCTGCTGTCACTGCTGCTGCTGCTTCCACTGCTGCTGGTGCTGTCACTGCTGGTGCTGTCACTGTTGCTGGTGCTGCCACTGCTGGTGCTGCCACTGCTGGTGCTGTCACTGCTGCTGCTGCTGTCACTGCTGCCGTCGCTGCTGTCGTCATTGCTCGTGGTGGTGGTGGTGGCGGTGGTCTGCGGCCCGTAAAGGGGGGTCAGGTCGGGTTTGTGGTAGAGAATGATGCCACTGGTGTGGAGGTGGGAGGAACCGGGGTGGGGGGGGAGAGGGGGAGGGGGGAGGGGGGAGGAAAGGAGAGAGGGAGGGGAGGAGAGGGGAGGGAGGGGGGGATGAAGGGCAAAAGGAGGACGAAAGAGAGAATGGGAATGGGTAGTTGGTGGTGGTGCTGGGTCCGCATCTTCAAAAGGAACGAAAAGACCAGCACAGCTCAAAGCTTACTCAGGGGCCTTGGGGAAACCGCAAGGCGCGACGACAGGGCGGTCAGGGTAGTTAGTGTTGGGCCCGCATCGGCACTGGGCGCGGCGCAGGTCGCAGTGGGCTGCACAGATGGACACGATCCAAGGCCCCAGGGGGCTCTCTGGGGTTGCTGGTAGGTTGCACGGATAGTCCTCCGTTTGAGAGCAGTCAGGGCCTGGTGAACAGAGAGGGTGAGAGAGAGAAGGTGGTGGTGACTGGTGTCTTATCCTCAAATATAATGCTTTTGACTTGGGAATGGGATTGGTTGTTGCAGAGTAGTCCTCCTCTTGAGAGCAGTGGCAGCTCGAAATCTTGGCAACCAAGCCCTCACGGTTTATCCACAGCCTACTTTCTTCAGTACCCACCCACCCAATGCCCATGGCCACGGCCACAACACCTCCCAGGTTCCTCGCACGTACTGATACTCATGGCAACTCCTGCACTGCACACCCCGACCGGCCTCCTCCGCCTTGCACACACCAACGCCGTTGCTGCAATGGTCAGATGTGGCACTGAATCCAACTTCCTCTCCTCACTACTTAAAGCCCTGCACACTCACCGGTGTACCCGTGGCGGCATCTGCACTCCCCAAACTCCGCATTGCACACTCCATTGCCACTGCAATCACCAGGGCACGTGCGACCAAAGGCAGGCTGCAAGCAAGAGTCACGGACCACACCGCACAAAGCACAGGGCAGGGCACAGGGCACAGGGCACAGGGCAGGCAGGCAGGGCACAAGGCACTCGCTCCCAGCCTCCTGCTGCATTGGTAGCACATCCAAAACTCGCTGCTACGAGGATGACGGAGTCACATCCAAAACTCGCTGCTAGCTTCCTGCTTCCCTAACAGCAGCAGCAAGCCAAGCAGCAAATTCGGCAAATCCTTTAGAGACAACTAAAAATTCGACCGAAACAAATTTCCAGTGAAACAGAGAAAAATCAGTTCCACTCAGGAGAGTAATCCAGCAGCAATTTCAGGCAACTTCCCAGAGAACTTCCTACTTGTGAGCTGGCTTGAAAGATCCAAACTAAAATGAACAGCTATTTCAGGCTTTCAGCTTAATTATCCAAGGAAGCACTCGTTCCCCATGGTTACCATGTGGTTGCCACACTCACCTCGTGAACAGTGACAGTCAAAGCACTGGGCGGCAGGCTCTTCAACCATGACCCCACGTGGCCTTGCCATGGCGCTCCTCTGTGCCACACGGTGCCACGTGGGCTAGATGACGTGGCAGCTGCACCACTCGCATCGGCAGCAGCAGTGGCAGCAGTAGCAGAAGCGCCAGCACCCCATGCTGTCCCAATAGCTGCGGCGGCATCAACAATCGATGCTCCATCTGTTAATTCACCTTGGCCAAGTGCAACGAGCTTCTCTGTACGTGCGACACACACACAAACACACACCCACACACACACACACACACACACACACACACACTCACACACACCCACCCACCCACACACCCACACACACACACACACACACGCGCACACACATACACACACACACGCTCACACACCCACCCACACACACACACACACACACACACGCACACACACACAAACACACACAAATTGGGCAAAGTACCTTAAGGAAAGGCGTGCCAGCGGTAAGTTGAGAGGGATATATATATATATATATATATATATATATATATATATGATATCCGTTAAGCCAGAGAAGATAGTCACCTTGTGGCACAAAAACGGCACGCATGTATACCAGCGGACTGAGTATAACGACGAGATAAGAACGACCAGATTACTATGTTCGAGATACGATCAATTTACCAGGCCGATCGTTCAAATGGTTGTCAGGTTGTGCCACGTCAGCATCGGGCGGCGAGAGGTAGAGGAGAATCTGTTGCGCAGTGGCGATCAGCGCGAGGAAAACGACAACCACGCCCACCACACGCGCCACCCGCTGCAACCGGGCGCTATTCCCACCATCATTAAACGATGACGAGTGATAATACGCCCGTGTTCCTACAACGAAGCCTCCCGAACCAGACCTGGCCAGCTGGTCACCCGAACCAGAAGCCGAGGCTCGGATGTGGATCGAGCGTCGAGCGGAGGACGGGATGGGGTGAGACGAAGTCGCCATGACGCTAGAGGTATTCAGATATTCCAATTCATAGAAGAATGGGTGGAGTCCAGTCCAGAGGTGTCCAGAGAGGTCACGCCAGTGACAGTAAGAGACGAAGCAGAAACTGGAACGAGCAGCCGCTTCACGTATAATATAACGCCTTTCTCTCGCGAATCATGGTTCAAGGCAGCGAGCATGGACCAGGGGACTCCACCGAACCTTTAAAGCTTTTGAATTCGGCGATAGAAGTAAGAATATTTTTGGGAATTGTGCTCAGCGTTGCAAGACCAAAGATCATGGACGCCTGGAGATGCGATTGAGGAGGACTGCACGCTGAAGTCAGCAGGCATTCGGCCACGTGGCCGCACAACCAAGCACGCTGACGCCAACTGGACACGCATGAACCCTGCTGCTGCTCGTACGGCGAGCGAGCAGGTTTTAAGTTTTAAGTTTTAAGTTTTTATTAAGGTCGTAACCGCATACAGTACAAACTCAGCAAGCATGACTTTAGCCAAGTCCTAAAAGGTCTACACTGGAACAGTGTTACTTGCCTATCCGAGGATAGCATGAAAGCACAGCCTTCATAGAGTTGTACCTCTAGAGCCAAAAAACCTACCAAGGCGGATGAAAGGTGTCGTTCAGTAGCCATGAGTCACGCAGAGAGGGGTGCAGAAGAGGCATCCCATCAGTATCGAAATTGAGCATACGGAGCATCGTTGCCGTTGTAACACGGTTGCGAGTGGCCTTCTGCTTTTTGTCTGACCACTTGGATCGACGAAAGAAGCAGATTTTGCACGCAGTCATGAAAAGTGCAAGTATTCGGTGGAGAGTCTCGAGTCGTGTGTATCTAGTCTGCTCGAAGTGGCTGGCGCACCGATCCCTCCATAGTGTGGTAGCGGCGGCGCCGACTAGTAGACACCAGGGCACATGATTGCTGGCGGGGTGAGATAGCGGGAAAAACACAGCAGCAGGCTCGGCCGCCGAATTAAGATGTCGGGAAGCAACTCGTTGAATAGCTTCTACCACCGCCGGAGCATGTCCACAGTCGAAAAACATGTGAGGGAGGTCTTCAATCAGTGGGGGGCCACAGCGGGGGCAGATACCGCCGGACTCAGTGAAACGGTAACGAGAGCCAGAAGGAAGTGTGAGAGTGGATAGCCGGAAAAGAATATCCCTCTGTCGAGACGATTGGTCTTTCAGGAAGGGGTGTTGGTAATCTGGGAGCGCCGGCAGGGGGTCACGGACTATGACATTCCATCGGTCGAGATGATTGAGTGGAAGCGGGGAGTAGAGCAGTTTCCTGATGTCAGCGAGAGAGGGTGAGCCTTGAAATAGTTCGTGCCGCACTCCCAGGGCCGGGCCGGAGTCAAAAGGTCCGGCAAGCCATCGTCCTTTGACATGCACCACGATGACGTCACTGAAAGAGATCGTGCAGCTGCCACAACTTATGGCTTCCACCTGTCTCCCTTGAAGCAATGGAAAGATGTCAGCGCGTGCTCGGAGATTGGGAAGGATGAGAGAGATGCGTAGGGCCCGTGTTGGAGACCGTGCAGATTTGGATTCCAATACCCAGTCATCCACCGCGAGGTAAGTCTTGCTTGGGCCGAACCTTCTGAGGGCAGCCCACCAACTGAGGGGAACGGCGTCGAAGATGTTGGCAATGATAGTCCTGCTTCCTGGATAGATCGAGGGAGGGTATTTTTCAAAGATTTCTTCTTCCTCCATCCGTCGAGCTCCTCTCCGTGTGGTAACGAGGAGATGCCCAAGGCGAACCTGTTCCGTAAGTAGGAAAAATTCATGTTTAACACGTCCGAAGGGGACATCTGGTTCCTTACAGATGAACCGATTGAAAGCGACCGGCTCCGCCATGAGGCACCAGGGGTCAAGTCGTGGGCGTGTAACTTTGGAGGGCAGGGGAAGCACTGCTTCCAGCTCCGCTCGAAACCTGGCAGGAACTTGTGGGGGAAGGAATTTGAGGATGGAATGATGCGCAAGATAACAGTGGAGACCAAAGGGGACGGAAACGCAGGACTGAGCCACATCCTCGTAGGGAGTAGCTTGAAACCTGCGGGAGGCGCGTTGGATGTTAAGTGCACGTATATGAGCCGAGGGTTCAAGGGCACCTACCCCACCATGCTTCTTTTTGTTGTATAGCAAGCGTTTGGGAATCATCCTCGTGGCTAATCCGTCCTCCTTGTACTTCGAGTTTGACAGGAAAATACCGATGACACGATCGAGTACTGTAATAATCTGCAAGGGGGGAGGTTGGAAGCGGGCACCGAAAGAGTAAAGTGATGAGAGACGTTCAGTGGCTAGCAAGGAGCGGCACGTGGTGGTGGCTTTGAAGGTTGCTAGCAGCTTGGTGGCACCTCGTATTCGTATTACGATCTTTTCCCATGTCGTAGAGCCCGGATGACTATGCTCAATGTAGATGCCCAGGATTCTTTCTGCATCGTCAGAGCCTCGTACCGGGATCTGCCCTGCATACGTGATGTACGGCGAGCGAGCAGGATGATAAGGCCAGAAGGAGTAAGGAGAAAGGCGATATGCAGTGAGCAATCTATAATACAACAGTGCCTGATCTGGTTTTTGTGTAAAGGAAAAATCGATTCCCCTGCAGGGCAGATCAATGCTGACCAAATCCACGGTATCGACTGCTTCAGCAGTTCAATCATTCATACTTGTTCCAAAATGGGTGGGCTTCTGAAATATGGAACCTTTACCAACAATTCATGAAATGTACTTGAGCATTTCTACTCGTAGCAGAACAAGGAAATAACGAGTACGGTATTTGAAGAGTCGAAGACATTTTGACTGAGACGGTTTATCCATAAGCAAATCAAATGGAAAAATGTTGGAATACAGTTCAAACGGTTACCGAACCGCGTTCGGTTACGATGTACCTACAATAAGGGAATGTACCTCTTAGAGTACATGACTTTACGACTGTTCGCATTCTCCTTCGTAATTCTAAGCCATTTACGTATCTATCAAGGAGAATGAATGACTAGGGAAGGTGAGGGGGGTACAAGGAGAATGTCGAGAGTTTCAAATGTACCCCCTAAGATCCAACTCACTACTGCCTATCCCCTAATATATATAACCATTGTTCGACACACCCCCACAGGCTAAGTGAGGGGCATAAAAATCGAGACCAGTCAAGAAAGACAACGCAACAAAGCTCAGGGTGGATCAGAAAGTCAACACACAGTCTGGGCAGAAGCAAGAGGCCGCAAAGCCAATTCTGTTAGAATAAGCAGGAATGAATGAGTGAACTAGGCAAGAGGTGAGTACAAGTAGGGGAAACCTAACCCTAAAGTGTTGTACTCACTAAGGAGTGACCATACTGTAGCCTAGAGATACAATTGTAATTTGACACACCCCCATAGGCAAAGTAGGGGACAGCAAACACAACAAGCGGTCACAAGACCAGTCTGCAGAAGAGAACACAGCTCAGGGTGGATCACAAAGTCACCACGCATTCTGAGCACAAGCAAGTGGCCACAAGGCCAGTTCACATGCAGAGGTATATAATAGCAAGGCAGTACACTGATCACAACCTAGCAAGAGAAAACATGCAGATATAAGATATATAGCAGTGACAACAAGAGCAAGTCAAGCAACTAGCAGGTGAGGCAGAGTGGGCACAAGCCCAAGAGCAGTGCAGAAACGGTGATGATCACCAGACCCAAGGGCCTTGGTGAAGACATCAGCTGTGTTGGCCCGAGAGGCCACGTAAGCAAGGCGCAGCTGACCACGCTGCTGCAGCTCACGCGCAAGGAAGTAGCGAAGAGCAATGTGCTTCGTTCTGTGCTCCAGTCTCTGCTCGCGACATAAGGCAAGCATTGCCTTGTTGTCGACGTACAGAACTGGAGGAGAACGAGGCCGCTCCCCCAAGTCGGTCAGCAGGTAGGTCAGCCAGCGTAGCTCCTGTGCAGCCATGGCCCCAGCGTAGATCTCGGCCTCACAGCTGGAACCAAGCACAGAAGAAGAACGAGTGGACCTCCACGAGACAGAACCAGAGCAAAGACTGAAGGTGTAACCCTGTGACGAACGCTGAGTCGTCTGGTCGTCGGCCCAAGAAGCGTCAGAGTGTCTTGTGAGGACCATCGAACCCCGTCCTCCAAGCACGAGCCCCATGCCCGATGTACTGCACAAGTAACGCAGTACCCTCTTCGCAGCATCAAAGTGCACCTTTCGGTGTCTACCGGGTGCCACGTAGCGAGCCAGGAGGCTGAGAGGGTACGCGAGGTCAGGTCGTGTGCACGTCATCAGGTACATGAGGCA